GGGGGGGAAGAATGTTTATATTTGTTTGATATTTTTGCAAAATCTAATAAAATTCTAGATAATACTCTTTTATATTTTCCATTTGTTAGTAATTTATTTGGTGAACATTTGATCTTCCTTTTCTTGCTTCGTTTATTTTGGCTTTCGTTTCTATACAAATGTTCCTACGTATGACACCAACCCTAGTCAGTATGTAAACAAACTGAATTCTTTTTATGTTCGTTTTGACAACCATGACTTCTACGATCAGTTGACAACTGTCAAAGAGACGATTCAAAACTACCACTAAGACAACAGCAGCACAGACAAAGACTATGACAAGAGCAAGGAAATTTTTGTGGTTAATGTTAATGAGGTCAAGATCATGTTTAATCGTCTGAAAGCTCACAAAGCGAGTGGACCGGATTGAGTAAAAATTAAGAAGATGAGGAGGTGGAGGTTGTAAACTCTTACAAATATCTTGGAATAACAATTGATAACAAGCTTGACTGGCATCCCCACGCTGCTCTTGGGCATAAAAAAATAAATCTAAGAATGTTCCTTTTTAAGGAAATGAAGAAGTTTTTGTGTCGATAATGAGATTATATCCCTTTTATACTATTCTATGATTGAAAGAGTGTTACTATTTTGTATTTGCTGTTGGGGTAGAAATTGTAGGGGGAAATATAAAGAAAAATTAGACAGAACCATTAGGAAAGCCAGCAAGATCTCTGGATATGATTTTACCAGAATTGATGAAATGTATAAGACCGCAAGTATAAAAAAGATGAAAAGCGTTATAAACGACCCATCACACCCCTTTTCCACACAAATTGTAAGATCACACTGCGGCAGGTATGTACTTCTTAAAAACAAAGAAAGAAAGATATAAAAGAAGTTTTTTTCACGATCTAGCATAAGGCTGTTGTCAGAGTAAGCATCAATGTGTATTGCTCTTTCGAGTATTTATCTATATAAATCTAAAGGTCTTGTAATTAAATTCCTGCATGTAGTTGAATGATGCTTCTGATATGATATATATATTTGTCAGCTTTACTTTTCTTTTCATATTGAATTTCAATGAGAGTTATATTATATAGTTTAAGTTTTTATGTATACTTACATGTGTTTTTACAGTCCTGTACAGCCAAGAAAAATTTTCCTCTTGGATAATAAAGTACTATCTTATCTTATCTTATTTTATCTTATCTTATCTTTTCCTTGATTAAGGATATGCAATACTGAATATTTGAACAAAATGCATAGCCTAAAGGCTCTGATTTCTTTTGTTACCTGCATTAGGAGAACAAAGTCCTCCACACATAGTTCGAGTTCTTCAGCTTTTGATGACAAAAGACGTGATTTGGATGATTATCACGGTAAGTAAAAGTTCTTTGATGTGCTTCACCTGTGTATATAGCAATTTTTCCAAATCTTTTCTGTATTCAGTGGTCAGTCTGATGTGTTTATGTTTGTGAAAGACTGCTTTGAGAGATGATAGGTGTATTATTTGTTGTTTTATTTTTATTTTTTCAATCATTTTGAAATAGTCAGAAGAGTGTGAAATTAGGGAGGGGCTGGAATATGCGTTGAGTGAGATGAAATATGTTGAGATCATTGAGTGAAAGGTTGCAAATCTGTTTAAAATTGTTAACATGAACAAAGTTTGTGAACTGCTCTGATTTCTCGGAGGGGTATTGATAGTTAAGATCCTGGAAGGTTGACAAAAGATCATTGTGAAAATAATGAAGTCAAATAACTTCCATGGGATGTGTATTTTTTGGTCAACCACTCAACCTCATGTCCACTGAATAACACACCTGAGGGTGGATTTTTAATGAAAAACATTGACCAAAGGCATACGAAATGTAGACTAGCAGTTTTCTAGACCACTCAAGCTTTGGAAGTCATCAAACTTCTGTGATCCACACCTCCTTCTGTCACAGATATCTTGACTTCTATTCAAGATTGATGGATATTTTTAAAAGTCAAATGCAAGACAAATAAACAACCCTTAACCCCTTCAATGCCACAGGTAAATAGACCCCTGTGCAGGGGGAAATCCCATGAACCCAGGCGGCTCAGGGGTGACCCCACACCATCTCCCATAACTTTTTTATTTATGAATATTTCCTCTTGCATTTCTGCATGTGCTTTCTACATTGAGCCACATTTATATTGATATAATTTTAGGGAGATTTCATTAAGAGTTAGACGGAGAAAAGTTGGAGTTGGTAACATGAGGCCAAAAACAACACCACCAAACAACATAAAACAACACACTTTCGAGTAATGATAAACTGAGATAAAAAAAAGGGGAATACATGTTTGAGTGTCTGCAGGTAAAGAGGATGTGACAAAAGTCTTTTCCTACCTTATACAATGCTCGTACTATCCATATATATCTACATGTAATCCCATCTGTGTTTACTGCCTTCATTTTTGTGCGGTGGATGTGTTAGATCTAGATCTAAATCTAATCTTCTCTCTGGGCTAAAATCTGAATCTGACACTTTCAAATGGGGGGGGGGGGGGAATGGTGGTATACGTAAAGGGAAGGTAATGATAATAAATAGCATTTGTATTGCGCATGTCCCCACTTGAAAGCAAGCTCTATGTGCTTTACACTATATATTACCCCAATGATAATTATTACAAGATTTTAGCAGTGACCTCCCCTATAATTGGTATCAAAACAACCTCTGTCGCTGCCCCGTAAATTCTACGGGCTATAGGCACTATGCCTAAGGCTTCAGGCCTGTAAATTCTATGGCGCGGCAGTGAAGAATTTAAGATAATACTAATTAATCCATATGCCCAAAAATTAATATGGGCCTGATTTCACCTTGTCGTGACAAATGTAAGTACATAAATGATATATATATTATGTACCGAAAAGTAATCAAATTGAATGTTAATGATAATTACATCACACCAAGTGGACACTTGAATCTCACAAACCGAGTAACAAAAAAAAAAGACAAAGAAAATCAATGAGATTTGTGAAAAAAGGTAGAAGTTTTGAAGTCTGTAAAAAAGCTTGTTTTCCAGTTCAGTTTCGTAAAAGTTTTACAGCACTTGCAACTGCATAAGGTCATCTGAGTGCGTGAAAAGCAGATTTAATTTCACTGTAGAGGTCGATGTAATTTTCAAGTTATTTTGTTGACCAAGTTCTGAGGAACTCGCAAACACTTCTTATAAGTTTTTTATTTCTTGTATAGGCCAAGCCGACAGGAAAATGCCGATTTCCTCGATTTCATTATTTTAATGAGCGCCTGATTCCCTCATGATGCCTCACATATGAATTTTTTACCTCCAAGTGTTTGCTTTTTTGGAAGGATTGTAAGAATTTCTATTTTTTAAATTATTCCTGTTATCCTTCATGTATTTGATGGACTAAATATGTGAGTGGGTCTGCATAGGAAAGGAAAAAAAAAGGTGGTTGTGTGTGTGTTTGTTTGTGTATGAGAAAGTTGCGGACTTTTCTGCTTGAGAGCAGAATAGCTACTTCCTTTACTTTGCCATTTCAATCCTTATTCCCATGGTTTTAGTGACTGGTCACATGATATTCCAGTCTGGGTTAAAAATTAATTACCGGGGTTTGGGGAATCAGTGTATTCCCAGTTTGGGGATTAGTGACTACCCATTGGACTGAATTTGCTATGATGTTTTTTTAACTTTCTATTCCTTGTCTTTTCAGGTGATTCTTCAAAGAATTATGACGACGATCATTTTGAAGATGAGCATGGGTATGGACTGCTTTATATTTGTCTTTTCTGTCATAGGAAAGTTGACATGTATACTATTCACATTTTTTGGTGTAAGAATTGGGGGGGGGGGGGGGGGGGTTCTGTTAGATCGTAGTTTCCTAGGTTCCCTGCCAGATAATATCTCTCCCGAGTCGGCTTGCAAAAATCCGTACCACCACTTTCCCTTCCCCCCACACGTTAACACACTCACTTAACGTATTTCTTCCTTCTTTAAGTCTTGCATGTATGCATTTTCTCTCTCTCTCTTTCTCTCTCTCTCTCTCCTCCCCCCCTTCCTCCCTGTCCCTTCTATTCTTTAACTGTAGCCCTCTCTTTTTTTATCTCTACCCCCCCCCCCCCCCCCCCACTCTTCCCTGAAGCAAATACTGGTAATTACCTCCATCTGCTCCGACAATAGGATTTTAAAACTTTTTTTTTTAGCATTTGGGAGTAAGATGGATATGAATGCAAAATGTGAGTGAAAGAAGCAAAGATGTGAGAAAGAATGTAAGTCTTGGAAAGTAGAGTGATAGAAATAAATAGTATATTTTCATGTATTTTACCGTTGATGAGTAAGTATAGATACACCTTACCAGCATCTGTGGCGTAGCCGTTAGGGGCTTTGCCGTTGCTAGCAAAAGACTCGAGTTCAATCCTATTGTAGCAAGAATTTTTATCAAGTATCTCAATCTTTCTGCTGGGAAGTTGCGTTCCTCTCAGCTTGGGTTGACCTTGACAGACAGGGTGGGAGCCTTCCTGTTAAGCCCTTCATGACCTATACTACATATGCCGTTTGTCACGTTTTCCTACACAGCAAACTAGCAAAGATGCTGCTGCGATGTACGTCGTTTGTCATAGGTTGTTTTCTGCATACTTCTTTGATTAAATGCATTTGGTAAAAGCATTTGAAAACCAGGCCTAACTATGGGAAACTGACCACTATATCTAGCGCTACCCTGTGTCCCTGGGGATCCAAAACTGTGCCCAGTGAAGCATGTACTGACATTGTGTCAGGAAGGGGTTAAATGATCTAAATTGTGTTGATGAGGTCACAGAAAGCACTTTCATGATACTTCATCTTTAAAAAAAAAAATTTTTTTGTGTAAGGCACATTGTTGAGTGTGAGAAGACTCTCAAATGAAAGTGAAGGAAGGATATTATTATTATTGTTATTATTGTCATTGTTTTTTAAAATTATTATGGTTACTTTTAATACTATTATAATTTTTAAGATATTGTTTTTTTAAATTATTAGTATCACTGTGGGTTGTTTTTGTTTTTTTTAGGGGGGGGGGGGGATTTGTTGCTATTGTTACTGTTTCGCAAGTGCCATAAAACATTTTACTTAAAATAAAAAACATTTTTTATTGTTATTATTATTATTATTATTGTGATCATTATTATAACTTAATATTTTAAAAAAATATATCATTGTACAAGTATCCTTACTATTGTTAATAATATTGGTCTTATTATTTTTATAAGATGTGGCACGACACATTATGGAATCGGGCGCTCGTCAATTATTGGGCACATATATTTATTAGTATATTCTTAAAGCTTGTTCATTAGTCTTGCTTTTGATGAAAAAATACCTATTGATGTTGAATAGAAATCAGGGTATTTGCAGTTGGTGGATATTGAAGTTGCCTGGTGTCAGAGTTAAAATCAATGGCCACCAAGGTTTGGTGACTTCCAAAACTGCGGTGTCCTTGGAAACTGCAAATTTGCATTTTTGTGCCTTTGATCAAAGCTACTTGGTAAAATTTACTTGTAAATGTGTTTTTACATGGACATAGAAGGTGTTGAGCCCAAAATAAGAATTCAAAGAAATTTTCCTAATGTTGGTTTCTTCGATTTCATTATATTGACGAGCTCCTGCTTTCACCACAATGCCTGACATATTATTATTCATTATTATTACGTTGTTCTGTTATTATTACTTATTATGATTAATAATGTTGTCTGTATCATTGTTATTAGTATTGTTAACATTATTATGGTATCGTTTGTGTTTCTCCCAGCTCGAAAACAGATCCTGATTTAGATGATGATGGGGACAATGCAGGCATAATGACAATGCAGCCTACAAGTAAACCTGCAAAAACTTATTGGAAGGTGAATTCGTTGTTATGTCTTGTCCTTCTTTGACATAATCATGTCAAGGGTAGAGTTGAGTTCGAATTTATTTGTATTCTTGTGATAGGAATATTCTAAGCTAGAGAACTCAAATTTAAATTACCCGGGGGCCGCTGGCAATAAAGTCTGGATAAATATGGGCTGTATTAAAGTATTTATCTTTTCAAAAAAAAGAAAAAAAGGTTTCATGTATTGTTTTTTACGTACAAATGATTTGGTCTTCTCAGTTCAGAACATGAAGGGTTTCTTGAGAACATACGCTTGCTTTCTTACCTACTCGTTGCTGCAAGAGACTTGGCAGCACTTTCTCATACATAGCTGAGCCACATTTGGGCCTCACTAACAGTAAACTTTGATCTCAAGTAAGGACCGCAAAATCTGGTCCGATGGGCTGCAAGTTTGAGACCCCTGTTGTAAGCCTTATATGTGGGTGGCTGTGGGGCTGTTGGTCCTGAGCTTGTATTTTTAAAAATCTTAGATATTTCTGAATTTTCTCTGCTTTTGATGTCCTGTCAGATGAGTAATTCCTATACCTTTAGAAAAGTATATTGTCGGCAAGTTATTCAAATCACGGCGTCACTTTTCGCCTGATTCTGTTACTTTTATTTAGAATGATTGAGCAGCCCAGCGGAGTTCCTTGGCCCGGGGTCACGGGGTTAATGAGCCCTGAAGCGACTTTGCCGGTGTCAGTTAAAAAGTTTGCATTTTTGTCTATGTTTGAAACTATATAACTTCTCGCCCATCCCACGCAACAAACCATTACACTGATGTACTAAAAGCTCAATATCTTGAGATTTATTCTGCGTTAGAATGGCTAATTTCTGTGTCTTAGTTTTTGGTTTAGAGAAGTGTTTGTAGAGTACCCCATTTGTCCTGTTTTAGTTACATACTTATGAATAAATGATTGTTTATTTAAAAAACGGCAAGACAGATCTCTCCAAAATCTGTGTCAAACTGGAAAAGTTTGGTGCTGATGCAGTGTCACTTGAAAGCTAGATTATTCTGAAAACCCAGTTACGAAAAGTCGTCCCTGTCATTCAGTCAACTTACAAAACCTAGACTTAGCGTTTTAAGAAGAGGAAGGAATTTCTGGAGTATAACAGATACGTTTTATGTTTTGCACTGTATATGTATTTTGACATTAAAGTCAATTTGCACTTCTTCATAGAGAGACTACAGCGTGATTTTTATAAACATTAGAGAAAATGAGAAAATATGCGAATATTTACGATAGTATTAGACATATAAAGTTTAATGTGGAGGAATTACTTCTTAGTGATTTGTGTGCCAGCTGGATAAAGTTGCTAAAATACAGCTTTCTATTATCTGTGCATATACTATGTTTTCTGAGTATCTCCATCAATGTTATGCCATTCGTTTTTCAAAAGCTCTACCGTTTTTGTCAATCCTTTTTTTTTAATATTAATTTTTTTTTTCGTTCTCACTTGTCCAAAAATTTTTACTATTAGCATTACCAACTTCAGCACGTCTAACGGAATAACCAGACAAGTTATAATTTTTGTTCTTTTTGGAGTCAACAGCAGAAATTTTTGCTTTGGGTGCATTAAATGATAATTACCATCAATACAAGGATGCACCTAAAACTTTAAGGGGGCTCGCTGGTCGGATCTAGGGCCTCGGGGACTTATTTTCACTCCATCACTCTGAGCACTTTTTACTTTGGGTATTTTCCAATCCCTTATTCCGTCTAGATTTTATTGACACTAGTTGCTGAGTGATTAATATTAACAGAATTCATTTTTATTGGGTTCTACGTTCTGTACTAACATTTTCAATATTTAACCTTTTTTTTTTTTGTTTGTTGTCAAATCACACTTTTTCACCACTTTTTGCCGGCTTATGCCTTTTTTTTTTCACCACCATTTTTTAAATTTACCAACACAGAGACTTGAAATTTTGCATGCAGTTAGAGAAATGGTTTGTGCTTATTGTGAGCAGGTTATTTTTTATATTTTGCTTTGGAATGTTTTTTACAATATTTTTTTTTTAATGCCAAAAATATTTTTTAAAGATCAATTTCCATATCCCCACAACTTTGAGAACAATTTTCGATACTTTCTAAGTATAGTATGGCAGACACATCACAGCACGATAGTAGGAGCAGGGAAATTAAATGAAGACCTCAAGAGGCTCCATAATTACTGTCAGAAATGGAAACTTAAAATAAACTGCACGAAAACAGTATACACCATCTTCACGAAGAGCCATAAAGCAGTCAAAAAAAATCTCAAACTAAAGATAGGAAATGAAAGTCTCCCCAAAGAAGAACATCCAACTTGCCTAGGAATCAAACTTGACCATAGGCTAACCATGAAAAGCCAAGTGGAGAACATAAGGAGCAAGGCAAAAAAAAGACTCCAACTTTTAAAGAAACTCGCAAGCAGTTCATGGGGATCAGACAAACAATCTCTGAGAGCTCTCTACCTGGGTTATGTCCGATCTTCCCTGGAATACAGCAATAGCCTACTCACTATGTGCAGTACAACTACTTGCAACACCCTTGACAAGGTCCAAAACAATGCCCTTCGTTTTATAAATGGTGGCATGAGATCCACACCTACTGCCGTCAATCATGCATCACATCACAGAACTAATGGAGAGCCACCATCTACCACAAAACAGAAAAGAAACCAAAAGAGTCAATCAAAACATCCCTCCCCACCTTTCTTTAAAAAAGCCAATCATTACATCTCTCAAAGACAAGAGCACAAAATCTTCAGACCCAATGACGCTGATTCTTGCATCACATCAAACAATCGACAGCTATTCAGATGACTGGATACACGTCTATACGGACGGCTCAGCATCCAAAGGCACAACCAAAGCCGGATATGGAATACTAATACAGTACCCAGATGGAAGTTCCAATGAGATCTCTGCAGCCTGTGGAGAGAAATGCAGCAACTACGATGCAGAAATGATGGCAATTGAAACAGCACTGTACCATCTCCGCACAGTTTTGACACTCATCCTGGAAAAGCATAGAGTATTGTGATTTTCACTGACTCACTATCAGTATTACAAGCCATATAAAATGACCATCATCTAAACCAAGATTTGACCCATATACTGTTTGGATCCCATCATCTGATGACATCCTGTGGCATCAACCTAGTAATGCAGTGTGTCCCCGGACACTCAGACATACCTGGAAATGACAGAGCAGACACAATTGCCAAACGGGGATCTAGACAGGAACAACCCAACACTCCAGCTTCATACAACACTGCAAAACAAATCATCAAAAGCAACAACAAACAAGATTGGATGAACAGATGGGCCCTGGGAAAGACAGGCAGAGCAGTTTTCAAACATATGACCACAACAAAAAGGAATGACAATATCAACCGCCTTCAGAGAAAGAAACAGACCACGATCTTCCGCCTACGAACAGAACATATACAGCTCAACTTCCACCTGAACAGAATAAACCCGGAACTTCCCCCAATGTGTCCCTTGTGTGACTATGCATATGAGACTGGAGCATCACCTGTTCCACTGCACAGCCCTAAATGACATCAGAGCTACCCTTCTCCCTTTGAGACCTAACATTGACAACACACTCTATGGAACATTACAGCAACTGCAGCAAACCTGCACTTATCACTACATGGCATTGGACAGAAGGGTGAGAGCCCAGCTGTTGCTGGATCGATAACAACAACAACAACTAAGTATAGTATCAAAAATCAAAATACCCACCTTCAAGCGCCTATTTTTTTGTGACGTTTTGCAAGTTACAGAATTTTATAAAGTTAAAAACTGTAGATATGGTGTAGAAAAAAAAAATTATATCCAATTTTCAAGATGGCCTCCGTTTCCATGGCAACGGCTTACGAAATTGAGTGTGTCAACAGTTGAACACGAATGTTTTGTCTCATACTTACTGCCTGTGACAAAAGTTGTTTCAGTTTGTCTTCAGTTAAAAATGTTGTCCCGTAAGTATTGAGCCCTGTTAAGTTGAAAAGTACCAAATGTCAAGTCTGCCCAGACAGAGCGGCGACAGGGAGCTGACCCCCGCCGTGATAAGGTGCTTGGCGGGGAACCCCCTGCTGCAGCTACAATTCGGCTGCTGGTGCGCCATAAAATGTTCTAAGCTCAGAAAGCAACATTTTTTTGCCGAGAGACCAAACTTTCATTCTTTTAATAACTGTTCCCACATTATTATTGATCTGTTCTTGCTTTCCTTATCGTTTAGAATTTGAATTTTAAAAAAATATATTTCTTGAGCACATGCAGCTGATACCACAGATAAAAAACTGCACTAAAAATGTTCCAAAATTTTGGGCATAGTATAGTAGACTAGAACAGCTGGGTAATTATGTTGCTTCCATCAGGGCATGGAACTGGTTCAAAACTGGACAAGAGTATATTGTGTTAAGTGCTCTCTTTCAGTAGTATACACAGACATCATGGCTCCCCGAAGAGTCACAATAGTGGTTTCTTACTAAGTAAGGATTTTGAGGAGCTGGAAAATTACCGTATGGCAGACTGCTCATTTCTCATTTTTGCCCATATCTGTCTCCCCCGGTCAATATCAGTCGTAAGACGCAGTGTGCTTATTGTCAGCTACGAGGCTCGAAAGGCAAAAAAAGTGACTTTCCATGTAACTTTTGTTTTTTGGATCTATTGAAAGTTTGATGTCTTCTGCTTCATTTAAGATAAAAATAAACAACTATAATTGACTATAAATATTTTATTTTGATTTATTTTGGAGGCGTGTGTGGTTTGTTGTGAGCTTGGGTGACGAGATAAAGGAATTTCGACCTTGCTAGTGTGTAGCTGTGAGATTATTATTAGAACCATTCCCTCATGGCCACCTTTGCTTCAACGTTTTTTCATTCGCATCTATCTTTAGATTTTGACCCCTTTTCGAGCATGAATGGTCTGAAATGTAAACAACTGTGATTGGTAAAACGAAGTAAAAACGGTAACTTCTTGCTCACTTCAAGCTTGTTTACGTAAACAGCTGACTGTGTGGACGTGCCCTGTTAGTTGTTATCGTCTGTTGATCTTTCAGTTTTACACTTGGATTGACTGAAAAAATTCGTTTTTATTGTGTTTTAGAGCTTTTAAAAGATTAATCGTCCTCTAGATCTCTCAAAGCGGTCTCCTTACCAAGAGGCTACCGAGGCGGTCTATGTGCATGTGTGTGTCTGTGTGTTGGTGCATTTCTATGTGTGTGTATGTGTGTGTGTGTTTTTTTTTGTGTGTGTGTGTGTGTGCTCACTTGTGTTTATGGTGCTGTTGTAAACGTATAATTAGGTAGTGTAAACACGGCACGTAAGCCATCTTGCGACCTTTCTGCGCCGGCCAGGACAACGCTCTGTGTTTTTATTGAAATAACGACAGACCATCGTGTTTGAGGCCATAAAATACTGAAATGTAAAGATCTCACAGTGTTGAAAAAAATAAGGTTTCATTTCTTTGTTATAATGATTGTACTCTGTTAATGTAGAGATGTTTGGTGCACTTAATACTCTTCAATAATCTATCAAACATGGAGTTGCAGCCTGATAGCGACTTCAGCAATATCTGATTATTATGTTAAATTGAAACAGCTGCCATTCTTTTAAACATTGACTGTGAGGCTAAAGTATGGTACCAAAATTCTCTGGAGACATAGGCCTTTCATATGAAACAGATGAATTTAACATATAGCTACTTTGAAAATTTAGTATCTGGTACCTAGTATAATGCTAATATTTTGTTGCATTTTACGTGAAGTCCATTCTCGTGAAAAATATGTTTTGTCCTTAAGTTTTTTTCTCTGTGAATGGATAGTTTTCTACTTCTGTATGTTACCTTGTTGTGGCATAGCTAAGATAACTGCTAAATTTCAAGTCTCTCTCTCAATTCTAAGACCCCCATTGCTATGGAAACATGTTGCTCAACTTGTGGAGGCCATTTTCTCCTTTTCGTGTTTCCTCACCTTGCACAACTAAAAGTTCCATATTTTTGTCAAATATGGTCATATTTACTTCATTCTTGTTTTAAATTGTAGGGAAAAGGTGATCGTTTTTAAAAATAATGTTAACTCAGTTTTGAAATTTTTTTCATATGACTGATATTGACCGTCAGGGACACATCATATTTCAACAAGCATTCTTGTTGACGCTTCACTTCTTATTTTGATCTACCTTCTCTATCAGACAGATTACCATCCTTGCATTTTGAATCCCTTTCAAATTGTCTTGTACACTTGGAGTCCTGTTTTCCCAAATTTTAACTTTTTAAAATCTGTTCATGATTGGTTGCTTGAAGTATGTTGTTTGTGTCAGCTTTAGTTACTATTTGAATATGTCTGTTCAGAGGGCCAAGAAGCAAATAGAAATACTTATCTCTTAATTCTCAGGTATTGTTCCAATGTACAGAAGAAATGCTGACTTCCTGGTTCATTTAGCTGGAAATTTAGAGAAAAATCTTGGACTGGCCTAGGTTGGGAAAATGTCAGACAGTGTGAGAATTAATGATGGAAAACACTGCCCAACTCGTGTATTTTGCTATGGCACTGCCTAAATGCCACCTAAAGTTTATTTGTCAATGTGAGATGTAAGTGAAATTGGTCTACCAATGTTTTACGCTCAGGTAGATAGTCCAGATATTCTGACAGTTTTCCTTGATGTCTAATGCTTCTTTGTGTTATTCTGTATATAAATGTTCAATAATCTCCTTGTTCTAGGGGGAACCTATTAAGGATTTGCGCTATGCTCCTGATTGCTTCAAGGATGAGGCGCCAATTGAGTGGAGGGCTTCTCATGAAACCAAGGTCATGTTTGAAATACCCGTAAGTACGTTTTCAGTATTTTTTTTAAAAGGGCATCTCTTTACTACCACCTCCAACATAGACAACACCTTGCTCTGCCTTAAGAAGCTGCAGTCGAATTTGCTGTATTGACCACCTGTCTAAGACAGTCGCCCGAACAAACAACTACTTCCCATTCCCCCATCCCATTAAAATTACACTCTTCAAGAAAAACACCTTAAGGTGACCGCTTTCCGCCTTGACAATGGGTGGTTATCTTGGACAGTTTTGACTGATCTCTAAAAAAGTGTACTCTGCACAACACAACCTAGGGACTGAAGGATGCTAGCCCAGAGGTTGTTGTGTTAAGTGATCTAGCAGTTGACGATTTTAATCATTTTTCAATGAGGTTATCATCTTTTTGGAAGGCAGCTTTATAACCCTTTTAAACATTGTTGAAACTGCTGATTCTTTGGTCCATTTCTGGCCCGGGACAGGCAAGCGTGGCATAGACTGCTTTCTGCCTTATGTACCTGACAGTATTGGAAGAAAGAAGCGAGTAGTGAAACAGGTGTCACAAATGACTTCATCCCCCTGGAAAAACAGTCGATTCTAACCTCTAAAATACAACTTTTCATACATTTTATGTGTGTGAGACAGGATACATTATTTAAAAATAATCTTTTCCCTGACCTAAATATGCCCTTTCCAAAGTCTAGGTCATCACACAATTCAAAGCTTAACTCTTTCTGGACGTAGTTTTTTTGGGGTCTAGACGTAAATAACTTGTGGCTCAATTTGGCTACACAGGTGGTGTACAAAATAACTTCATATATACATAACCATCACTCAAAACGTAACATATTATATTTCAAATCGAAGGAAATTGAATGAGGAATACATCCCAACATGAAAGAAGGATTCATTCTGAACATAAGTATGCCTTACATTGGTTAAAAAGGGCAATGGTAATGAGAAAAGTAAATTTTGACGGAAAAAATTACATTCACCAAATATATGTGAAAGCAAATAAGCATAGTTATCTTATCATATACAGGCCAAGAGCATAATCCATAAATTTCTGAATGCGCAGCTTTTTATTTGAAAGCAATATTCCAATTTTTGTTTGAGTTATGATATTTATACTGAGTCCGGTCACATCGTTTTGTTGATGCGAGACCGCAAGAACTAATTCACTCGTTTTTCCCCAAACCCACACTTTGACAAAGTGGAACCAGATGTTTTCGTTTCTTAAATCCTTTCCAAGTTATAACAATGAAAAGTAATTACAAATGACAGATCGTGTTAAAACGAAACAATACTGAGGCACCCTATCACTGCCGATATATCGGCGATACGTCCGGAAAGAGTTAATGGGGTTGCATAGAACTAGCCATCAGACTGCACAGTTTATGTTCAAAATTCTAACGAAAAAAAAGACGCAACTCTCAATGAAAGCTGTAGAAATTACAGAATAATTAAAGGATATTCAAAATAAATATCTAGGTATCTATAATTATTGTGCCTAAGAACTTGATATTTATTTTTAAAATAACATTCTTCCTTTCGATTGTCAAAATGTTTGGATTTTCATGTTATATAATTTCAATATGGATGTGAGTATTACATAGCCTGCTGGGGTTGTAATTTTTTAAAACATTTATTTTAAACTTTTCTTCGGGGGTACTGCATAACAACGAGACCATGTCACTCGATTATTAAAAGAACTACATTGGCTCCCTGTAAAAGAAAGAATAATATTTAAAATCTGCGTCATGCGTTTCAAATGTGTAAATAAAACTGCTCCTTTTTATCTACAAGAACTTATCAGCCAGGGAGAAACCTTAGATCATCAAACGATAACACCCTACTTGTGACACCTGTAAATAGAATAGCATTGGTAGTCTGAACGAGTTGTTTGGGTGATTTAACGTCTTGTAATTCATGTAGATAGTATCTTTTCTTGTTATTTTCGATGACTGAGTTGACTTTGTCTCGGTGGTTAATAAAGATGTCTCTGTGAACTTGAAGTTTTGATTTCCTCCACCTGCATTCTGCCTGACGTCGATGTTGCTTGGCTTCTTTGATTTCAAGTGAAAACCATGGAGAGAAGGGTCTCGATGAAATGTTTCTTTTTACCATTGGCGCATGTTGGTCGATTGCCGTTTTCAGGGTGTCATGAAATGTGTCTGCCTTTAGGGATGATAGACTTGTCAGTGTTTTGCTCATGTCGTCCCGAAGTGCCTGTGTGTCTATTGTTCTCGTGTTCCTTGAAAGTATGCTGCTTTCGTGTTTTGGTTTGGAGATGTTAATGTCAGCTATCAGAAGAGAATGGTCAGAGATAGCCTTATCTAGAACCTGATGTTTAAAATGGTCTAAAATGTGACCACTACGATGTGTCGGCTCTTTGATTAGCTGCTTTAAAAGATTATGATCGTCAAGAATTGAAACAAGGCGTTTGATGTCTGGTCCAGATGGAACATCAAAGTGAAAGTTGAAATCCCCTATGATGTAAAAGGGGGAGGCAGCTTGCTCTAGTTAAATAATAGTTATGTATGTGTACCTAACATAGAAGTGAAAATATGAGACATATGTGGCGTCGGTGGCCTAGTGGTTAGGCTCTCGGACTCGCAATCGTAAGGTCGTGGGTTCGAATCCCGTCAGGGGCCCCGATGTTGTGTCCTTGGGAAAGGCTCTTTACACGAATTTTCCTCACTTCACCCAGGTGGGAATGGGTACCCACCTATAGACAGCCAAAGATCTTGTCAGTTTGTTAGTGTTTAAGCGCTTAATCAGCTGCTTGCACTGTATGCTTCCCGGGAAGCTGAGAATGTTTCGGAGTATTCTGTGGTCTGCTGGGAGTAATAATATAGTGTAAAGCGCATAGAGCTTGCTGTTGAGCGGGGGTATGCGCTATACAAATGCTATTTATTATTTATTACATATTATACTGAAGTAAGGGGAGTGCTTTTCTTCTCATTTTTACGTTTCGAAGGGAATATAAAAAGCGCTGAAATGACTCAAAATCGTCTCTCAGTGCTATATTTTCTGTCGTATCTGCTAACAGGAGATCTATTCTATTATTTTGAAAACTTGGATGGGCCGAGAATTTTGTGTCTTTTCATTACTGGATTGGAATAGATAGCGAGCCACTCGAGCCGTATTTTGTGGCTCTCGGTCCAGCTAGGCTCGCGGTAGGAAAAGTGTTAATGATGGTTATACACCCTTCATAGAAACTGTTTCAGTCCCGAAAAGAGGTCATGGGCTGGCTTTAGGGACAATGGGAGACTGAATGGGACATACATGCTGACTTACAAAAACATGCATGGTAGAATGTTCTCCTTAGTGATGGAAAAATTCTCTTTCTCTCAGTATCTCTGTCTGTCGCTCTTTGTCTTTGTCTCTTTCTCTTCCTTACACACAACTACTCACACATACACACACGCACACACAAACACACGCACGCACGCATGTGCACTCACATACGTGAGCGCACGCACGCAAGCACGCGCACACACACACACACACACACACACACACACACACACACACACACACACACACACACACACACACACACACAGAGCGTTCAGCTTTTAAATGGCAGAAGGATGTGGGTATTTTGGGGGGCTTTAGTTCTTTTTTGGCTTTTGATATCTATTACATATTTGGCAACTTGGAAACACATGTGTAACTTTTCCCATAAAACTACGACAGCTACGGAGCTGAAAGTTGGCAAGTACCTGCAAAAACTAAAAGGTACATAGGTCCTAATGATGGAGCCTAATTTTTTATTTATTCATTTCCTGAATTAAGAAAAATATATTTGACAAAAAGTTTTCGTCCTTCTTTGGCCTTTGTGATTATTCCACTGAGAAACGAAACTAATCTGCGTAGCTGTTCCTTTACAGCGAAAATGCCGGAAGTGATATTTCGCGAGGCACATTTTCTTTTGAGAGTGTAGATCTAAACCTTCTAATTTTTTGCATCTTTCAAGTTTTATTGTTCCATTCCAGTTGAGGGTAAATATAGTAGGCCAATGACTTTCAGTTGATAATGCACCGATCATTCCTTTCATCGAAAGGGGGCCCAGCTAGTTATAAAATATTTACATAGCACACTGTGTACAATTTTCTCTACGCAGGCTGGCTATGTTACAAAATGAGAAACGCCTTTGCATGCCATTATTGTGCTATCGCTTACTCATTGTTGTTAAAATTCCACTTCCTTTTCGGGATACTTCTACAGCGGGTTCTGGTCACTGAAGGATTTATTGGGATCTGCATGCGTTTCGAACTGCCTTGAGAGTTATTTTCAGTATGAGTTGGTGTCATTTTCTTGGCGGAGGTGTTTTTCATGTCAGTTTGTTAGCTGTCTTTTATCATCAAGCTCAATGAAATAAACAACTATGAAGGGTTGGATAGAAATGGAGTTCTTGGTCAGTTTCTAATGATGTATTGGAATAAATTTCTTCACATTCCGAGATATTTTATGCCGCCAAACACAAATGTTTAACTTCAAAATGACATTCATTTTGTCTAGAAGGGAAATATATTTCTTCTTTCTTTTGTATGTTCTTTACTCGCCCCACCTGGCCAAGTGCTCCATTGTCAAAGTAGCCCGTTCATGTCTTGTTGAGTGTAAAATGGTGCAAAAGCAAGCAGAAAAGACCAGTCCAATACAGACAAAGCCTGTCTTGGAGTTTTGAGTCTTTGATTTGACAGAAGGTGACCCTCTGACTGCTTTTTCCTGCTTCTTGCAATGCCCTCCACTTTCCTTCCTTTTTATTTACCAGCAATCGGAGCCCCCTACACCGTATCCCCGTGAATATTTTGAACAGAGCCATTTGGACAAGTCCAACTTTGTGTTCATGCCTTGCTCACCCGCAAGTGAAATACCCTGCCCACAGGTGAGTCAGTGATTAGACGTGCTACAAGCGAGTAAAAAACATACAGAAAAAGGAGGAGGGGTGAGGGTGACACACCGGAACACCCATCAATCACCCACGTGGTGGGGTTTATGCAAGGTCTTCCCAACAAGAGTTACATTTTGCCTGGAAGTGCAATGGGTCAGGTTGGTAGGTATTTTATTCAGAGTTTAAGGCCATTGGCTCACAACACTTTTAGTGTTCAAATCTCACAGTTGCTAAAAACTTCAGTGTAAATAGCGTGAATCATAAATAACACATATATCAATAATCAGTGATATTTTAGGAACTTTTTGTGTTGTAGATTTTTATCATTGGGTTGAATCGGAAAGTGGGGGATGAATAATTTCTTCAGACAGGCAGATAAAAAAATGAAATGAAACTCTGCAACTTCATAATGATTCAGACTTCCGTGAAAATAGTATAAATCATAAATGACACACAAAGCAATGATTTTAAAAAAATGTTTTATGTTGTAGACTTTTATCTCTGGGTTGAGTTAGAAAGGAAGAAATAAATAATTTCTTTTGATCGGCAAAGCTTGAACGATAAAGAACAATGTGAAATTCATGTTCATTTTCATTATGAGGACAATAATGAGGTTGAGAAAAAAAAAGGCGTAGAAGCAGACCTCACGAGAGTTTTCAATGCTGAGAGTTAGATGGACTCATGGTTGTCACTAGAGTAGACCTGCTGACTGTTCTAAGGAAATTGGATTTTTAAAGGGGTTTTTTTTGTTTTGCTTTTGTAGGATCCTGATCAGTTTTGCTAAAAGCCAGATTTGTTTTCACACTGCTGTCAAAGCAAATGTGACTGGTCTTTAATGACGAGGAAATACAGTAGTCTCTGTCTAAGATCCCATCGCTTACGATCCCGGTTCTCCTAATTAACCCTGGGAGCGCGCAGGCCCTACATAAAGGGCATAGACGCTGACCTTTTTCTTAGGAAAATTTCAGTATTCCTTATATGGAAAATGATGTAGTAAATTACAGGTCAAAGTTTTAAATAGTGACCAATAACTTTGCAAGTTGTCTTGACCTTGTAGAGTGTCTCTTGGCAGTGCTTCCACTCTTCCGTATTTTTACGGAAATCTGTACTTTCTGCCAGTTTCGTACTTGTTCCTCCATCAAGAACTGCTCCCTCCATAAAAACCTGCAACAGCGTAGGACTGCTGAAATTCCAGAGCAAAAGATCTGTACCTGCCTTCGTATCGTCTTGTATTTATAGTTACGGATATTTACTGTAATTCTCTCGGCAATAAGTTAATGTTATAGAAACCTGCCAGATTGCGCATTTCCTGCAATCGGCCATTATTCCGCTGTGCCCCATGCATTCATTGCGGTTTGGTCGGCAGTACATTTTTACCTGCAGATTGATCAAAATCTGGAGAGAGCTTTTAGTGCTTATTTCCTCCTTTCTATCATTTACTCATTTCTTCTGTCTATCTTCGGATTGTTGCCGCGGTTGGAAAATCTGCGTGTTGATGAAGTAAATTGACTTGTGATCTTAGACAGAAAATTACTGTCAGAAAGAAACTTTTGCAAATTTGTCTAGGCCATTCCCAAAGGGGGGACATATCTCGTTCAAGCATAGTAGAATTGTAAATGGGCTGACTCATGTCACGCTCATAACTGTGCCTGATCTACAACAGAGAACTGCTGCTTTTTCTTTCCTGATCCTTACTATTGTCATTTTCCTCTACTTCTTTTGTATGTTTGTCGCTCCCTTATGACCTTCTATTTTGGGGTGCCTTGATAGTCGATGCAGACCTTGTGCTGTTGAAGCTAGAGAGCTAAGTCTGATTCCCTGTAAAGACTTCTCTGTTGACACCCACCCCTTGGCGCTCATATGACCTTATGCAGTTGCGAGCGCCGTAAAACCCTCTACTATTTTTTAAAAAAGAAAAAAAAAGAGAAAATGTCTATGCGAAGATTCTACGGCACGGGAACGCGATAGGGCCGCGATGAAAGAAATTTATGCTAAGACTACTAAAATCAAGAATAATTCGAAGTGGTGCTCCGAGGTTGTGACATGCGGCATACTACTGTTTAGACATGAAATTTAGGAAAATTAGATTATACACTGGGCAACTGTATTGGGAAAGTACATGAATATCTATTCATTATTCCCAGGTTTGCCTTCTGTCAATGGTGCGATGGCAAGTTAATTGAATTATTATAGTAGCAATGGAAGGGGAACCTGCTTTTAAACATTGCCAGCAATAGAAAGATAATATGTAGGTGAAGAAATCAAACAAGACAAAATGTTGGCGAAAAAAACAATGTTATGGGTTGTAGGCAATCTCTTCAAACAGGGTTTGAACAGGATCCTGCTATTTTAAGAAACATTATTTATTTAGTATACAAGAGTCACCCCTTAGATTCCGCTCTGAAGCTCTACAGATTTGGCTAAAATCCCACATTTCAGACCCTAATTTATGGAACAAAACCCTTGTGGGCACTGCTGATCAAACAAGAGTGAAAATTTGCGGTCTTTGAATTACCTATTGAGTCACAGATCAACCACTCTCGTGAATGTGATCACATGTGTATTGTAAGTCTCGATGAAATGATACAATGTTTGCCCAGACAGGATCACACTACGATGTGAACTCGCTGATGCATTTGTTTTCCCCAAACATCCCACTCACATTTGAGCTCTGCACCTGAACTGACATCAAGCGGTGGGTTGGTAGGGCCTACAAGTTCGCTCCAGGTGGGATCACATCGAACTGTGAACTCTTCCTTGACCATAGCAGCAGTTGTCTCTACTCCTAAATTTGCAAGACAGATTGAATTTTAATTCGTGTGGTCACTACTGAATGGTACATATAAAGGCGGGGGAACTCGGTCAGAGATGAAAAGCTGTAAATTTTGGACAGGTAGAGGAGAGGGGCTATTGGATAAGGGTAGATCATGAGACTCACTGTTGGATAATAAGTGAAAATGGCATGCCTCATGTCACTATCATTGGTCATCAAGTTTAACCATGTTAAGGGAGACCCTTTTACTGGTTGTGGGCCTGAACATGGGTCATAATAGATTCTTCCCTTGGTACGTTGGCTAAGATCCTGTTCGCCTAAGATCCTGCGTTTTCCTTGCTCCCAAGCACCGGGATCTTAGGCGGAGACTACTGTACACACTGTCATGAAATTCTTAACAAATACAGATCATTTTCTACTCCCAATTCATTTCTACTAGAGTTCAGAATATCCCAACAGCAAACAAACTTTGAGGGTATGAAATTTTGAATTGTTGCTCATGTGCTGTGACCAACTTCTCATGTGGGAGTAGATTTTGTCATTCTTCAAAGTAATAGTGATGGGGTTCGAGCCTCAGGCCTGACGTTGTGTCATTGGGAAAGGCACTTTACCCAAATTTTCCTCACTTCACTTGGCCCAGGTGTGAATGGATACCCATCCATAGACAGCAAAAGGTCTTGTCAGCAAAGTAGTGTTTAGGCGCCTGTAAAATAGCAGCATGCACTGTATGCTACCCAGGAAGTTGAGATTGTTGCAGAATGCTGTCAGGTCTGCTGAGGTAATAATATTGATTGTAAAGTGCATAGAGCTTACTGTTGAACAGGAATTTACGCTATACAAATGCTATCGATTATTATTATTGTTATTATTATACTCACTACTTTTATGTGTAGTTCACGTAAGAGTATCTACTACCGGATTTATGGGTGGTTGGCTGGTGCTCTGATGTGGTTTGCTTCTTCTTCCCTATCAAACATCTATCGTCTTTATCTCCCCTCGTTTTTTGTGTTTGTTACTCTCTTGTGACACCTCTAATCTACGGCACTTATAAAGACCTTATTGTGTTGCTAGTGCCGTAAAACACTTACTAAAAAACAATACAAACTATCAGATTTCTTCTAACCCACCTTTAGTGAAGAAACATCACTCCAGTAGAACCGAGTTACATTTTAACGAGTTGAGTCATCAGTTTCCATTATAAAACCTGCCATTTTGAGTATTCTGAGATATCTCAGAAAACTTATATCTCTGTGCAGTTTATAAACCAATCTACACCCCTGTTGGTGTACTCGTACTATAATCCGTTACCCTAAAACTAACTGAGAAATAAGTTTTTGAGTGATGAAAAAAAAATGTGAAACTGGGAGAAATGTAATAATATAAAGCAGTGAAATCATGCTTTTCTTATTGTCAATTTTGATTCGGGGATAAAAGAAATGCGTGAACAAAACAATTCAATTTTCAGTCTATCTGGTTTTCTCTTTTAATTGGATTTTTCTATATTAGAAATAAAAAAAAAAAAATCCAACTCTCTCCCACTGATATGTGCTGTATTATGAAAATTATTTTGTCAAACCTCTCAGTACTGAAGCTATTTGGTTGAGAATAGAATGTTGTTTGCAAGGAAACAGACGAAATAGAAGGGGGGAAAAAAAGGGGGTGGGAGGAAAAGCTGTACGGAGCGAACAAAAGAAGTCAGAACAACCATTGAAGGTGTATTTATTAGTTCTCCTACAATGAAGAGGTCTGGAAACTTCAGTGTTATTTTTGTCAATCATGTTTTTCCTGAGGTTGTTGCCTCAAAATTTTTTGTCAAAGACAATAACTGTAGAATGACATGTTTACAAATCTGAAAATTCTGATAGTCCGCAAAAGCGTGAGCTTTAGAACTCTCCCTTATCTCAGAAAGTGATTTTTCTGACAAGTCCTTGATTTTCACTATGCAGCTACACAATTTATTCTGCTTTTTTTCTTTGAGTAGACCCCAGGGAAAATTGTCCGTCGCTGGAAAGTGATTGAGTCATCGTTACATCAAGATTTGCCTGGTAGTTTTGAATTACAGGTGAGTGAGTATTGTGCGCTTTTATGTCACAACTGCAAAATTGCACTGCAGTGGAGGTCTTTTGGGAGTTACATTTTTTTTTACCTTTTTCACTTAGATATGCCTCTGGGGAAAACATGTGTTTAAGGAATCTTTAGTGGGATGACGTTTTATACATCTTGCTTTGAAAGGTTTCCCTGATTAAGTTTTGTTTTTAAGTCAAAAGCTCGTAGTAACGTAAAACTTCATGAACTTGTCTGCTTCTGATGTTTTTGAGCAAAGTAGTTGAAATATATAATTGGACTACTTTATTACCAGCAAATTAGCATTTGATTCTTGTGTCATGTAGAGCCAACTTCATAGAGCTGGGCTTATAATAGTTATTTCATGATAGTGATATCTTATCACAGCGCGTGTTGCTTTTCCTCCGGCATGTTTTCCCTAGGTAACTAAAGAAATGTACTTAAATAATTGAGACATTCAGTAACATCTTTGAAAGTCGGTCATTTTGATTCTCTTTCAGGTAAGCTAAGTAAGAATCTAATGTGAGTGTAAATTGTTTATGACTTAATGATTTTTTTTTTCTTTTTTCATCCCAACAGGATGCCATCTTGAGTTACAATTTTCATTATAGGAAAAAATGGGACTTTGAGAACTTTCACAGTTACTTCAAAAAGGTAGGTGGTGCAGGACTTCCACTTAGGAGGATTGTATTGAGTCTTTGTGTAATATACTATCCAAGAGGCTTTTAAAAAATGTTGCACATATTATATCCCATTAAAGAGTTTTTCCTGGTATATTTTTTTCATTCTTCGTGCCAGACATTTTTGTTTTGAATTGTTTTGCAGTTTTGTGAAGCTTAATTTTTGTGGATTCTTCCCTGTCTGTTTTCTCATGGTTTCCATACTGTTGATCCCAGGATGGGTGGCACTGAGTACTTATTCTTTTTGAGTGAGGAGGAAAGAGAAAGAGGTTGTGTGTCTTCACTTCACACTTTATTGGTTACTTTGTGGTGGATGATCTTTGAAAGCAGGCTGGGGCAAAAGTGTTGTTTATTCTCCTATCGAAACAGGCGAAACTGTCAGTTCAAGTTAGTGAGAACTATTTTGAATGCAGCCAAAGAAACTCGGGTCATTTAAAATAAGAGCTCTTTTGAATGTGCGTTAGAAATTTTGATCTGATAAAATAGATCAGAGCTCTTGTCTAGCCTAGTCTAGTTAAACAGAGAAGGGCTCTTTGAAAAAAAAAACAGCTTAAGGAGCAAGGATCAGTATAAATAAATATGGGCTCTTTTCAACACAGCATATGGCTTTCTTAAAGGCAAGGGGACACAGGTTCCTAAAATTGAATAGGCCATATTAATACAATTCAGATGCACATTATTGTTGAAGGATCCACAGTAAACGACCCCCTGATATATATATATATATATATATATATATATATATATATATATATATATATATATATATATATATATATATATATATATATCAAGAGAGCACAGAAGAAAATACCAAAATAACAGGTGCCTTTTCGGGTGTTCGTTTCTTTTTTCTCAATTTTAGAACAGACCAGCTGAATGCTCAACTGGAATACATAATGTCTTTACTCTGCTAAGCAGAGAGACTGTTTTGAAAGGTGCTCTTGATGTTTGATGATTTACTTGCCTTTTTATTTCAAAAGTGCGGGTGATTGAAGGGCGGCACTAGTAGGTCCTACTTCTTTACTTTCCCCTCTGTTGTTTCTGTCTGTCTGTGTTATCCCCCCCCCTCCCTGCCAACTACATGAACATTGTTGTGTCAGTGTGCTTCTCTTTACTCAAACAACACCAACCATTTTTAAAAGTGCCCTTTTTTAAAACTCCACAGTGTTCTCCAAATGAAAGAACAGACTTTTTTAACACTGTACTTCCAAAGATGCAGAGGCTTGCTCTACAGCTACCTTCACTTTGCACTCAGGTATAAATCTCATATTATCTTTTGTTTTGTCTATGTTAATGATTTTTACCCCACTGTTGGTGGTTAATGGGCACTGTAGTGTGGTCCGCTACCTCTATTTCCCCCCTGGAGTTGCTGGGGAAATTGGGCTGTTATTGCACATCTATAGCTCAGTGAACTGATATTTCTAAGGTGAAACAAAAATTTAAGGTGTGTAGCTGTCAGGAAAGCTGCCAGAAGGTAGGGATTTTCAACACTACTGTTGATATTGTCCAAAATGGCCACTCAGTGTCAATGGGAAAAGGGGTTGCCTTGTACAGGTGGGTGTCTTGGACTGTGTCATTATAATATAGAAGAACTGCAAGAGAGGAAATAGGAAGTGGCCATTTCTACAGGTGATTGTCTTGGACAGGTGACTGTTAAAGCAGGTTGAACTGTATTTATTTGGGAGCTTTTGCAGTTTTGTGTACAACTTTTTGCCCGTGAAAGGGCATGGGGGTCTGAAAGATAACTTTTTTGAGAAAACAGCTTTAAAAAATGTTCTATGACAAGACTGTTTTAAAGGGTGAATGAAAGATATTCAGTTTGTGTCTTTTTTGCTGCTACAGTACTTGTGGGCTCTTGGTTGTTCCAGACAGGTAGTAGAATTTTCTCTTTGGTGTCCATTTGCAAGAGTAAACAGTTTGAAATTTTAGCCAAATGTGTGAAGTGTATGTCCTCAAAATAGTTTGTTAAATGAAATATATGGAGCATTATTTAAGAAAAGTCCCTTCTGATGTAGCACTGGTTTAACGATTCATCTTAAAACCTTGTTTGTGATAGGCAGAAATTAAATTGTAGGTTTGTACATAAATGGTGTTTCATAAGTTTTTGCACCTTCGGACTGGCTGTTTCTGAGCCACTCAAATGTTCACCTCTTTTAGTGTTCTTTGAACGTAAACAAATATCTCCTGACAGGACATGATAGATGTTTGGATAGTACTTTGGTTCAAAGGTAGAACTGTCCATGTGTTGGTCAACATACTGAAGCTTGCGGTTTTAGGCTGGCATAACAAGATTTATGACAGTTTTAGATGTGTACATTTAGTTTTAAAAGTGTGGTTGTGATTAATGGTTAACTGTGTGTCTTCATCCTCTCTCTCTCTCTCCTCTCTCTCTTTCTCTCTTTCAGCCTTTGCCAATGCTTAAAAGGAACCAAAATCGTAAGCTTGTCATCAGCCAGCAGCAAGCAGCTTGTCTCCTTGCCAATGCTTTCTTCTGCACATTTCCTGGGAGAAACTTCAGGCAGAGAGGGGTTATTCCGGATATCAACTTCAGCAGGTATGGTGTTAGATCATCTCCTTTTTATTTAGAGGGGTTCAATCAAGGTTTGTGCTGGATAATAATGATAAAGATCATTTCTATAGCGCTCACTTTCTAGTGACTCTAGACTTTTCACACTGAAATAAAATTACTCCAATTTAGACAATGACAAAATTCATTTACATTTAATGTACAACGATCCTTTTAAAATATAAAAATTGTTGAAATGATGTTGAAGATAATGGAATTCCTTGAAGTCCCCATTTGTCTGTTGTTTTTCATGTCTTTCTCCTCTGTGATTGCTATCCTTTTTATCCTCAGCCTTTTCAATGGTCCTTCCTGTTCAAGAAAGATTGAAAAACTGAAATGCATTTTCCACTACTTCAAGAGAATCACAGAAAAAAGTAAGTCTGTTTAGATATGATGTACTCGGCTGGAAGAAATTAATAGTGTGCTGACACCAGCTTCTTCAACACAACATGATATGTGAGGCAGTATGCGCTTGTCAAAATAAAGAAATCGAAGAAACCAACATTTGTCTGCGTTCTGGGCAATTTTTATTGATTTTAAAATATTTTTTGTCGGTTTTGTACAAAAAAACTCGCTTAAATGTCCATTTAAAAACACTTCTGTGTGGTTTTTATTGAAAAATATTGATCAAAGGCACAAAAGATGTGAATTTGCTGTTTTCAAGGACTTTCAAGCTTTGGAATTCACCAAACTTTGACGGTCATTTTCTCACTAGTTTATCCCCTGACACCAGGTGACCCTACTTCCTATAATAGCAAATATCTGGACTTCTATGCAAGATAGAAAGGTATTTTTCTTCAAAAGCAAGACAAATGAACACACTATAAGATTATACCAATAACTCCTTTGGTCCAAAATTTGACAAACGCCTATTTCCACTGTGTGGTGAGACGCACACATACATATCATTCAACACATCACAATCTCTCTCTCTCTCCCCCTCTCTGTCTCTATCTCTGTCTCTGTCTCTCTCTGTCTGTCTGTCTGTCTCTGTCTCTCTCTGTCTGTCTGTCTGTCTCTGTCTGTCTCTGTCTGTCTGTCTGTCTCTGTCTGTCTCTGTCTGTCTGTCTGTCTCTGTCTGTCTGTCTGTCTGTCTGTCTGTCTCTCTCTCTCTCTCTCTCTCTCTCTCTCTCTCTCTCTCTCTCTCTCTCTCGTGGCCTAGAGGTCAAGGTGTTCTCCTCTCATTCAATCTGGATTGAATCCAGATAGCAGCGGAAAATGTTCTTCTCTAAATTTTTCTCCTTTCATATCCTTTCCTGCTCTCAAACAGTGTTGTGTTGTCTGCTTTCGTTTCCACTTTCTGCCCCCACCCCTTCACTCTCTTTGCCCCCTCCTCTGGGCTCTTGACTCTTTTTGCAGCTTTTCTACCGCAACTCCCTGGCTACTTCTTACTGGTGTCTTTCAGCCACACCCCTGATCTTCTGGTAGGAAAGATATACACCTAGCTTTCTCAGACGAGAGCTAAAAATCTCAGACGTTAAAGATCCCTTGGTGGTCCAAAATCGATAAGAGTAGGCTCCGGCCACCACCCGCGCAAATTCCACATTTCCTACCAACTGAAATGTTTAGTGTGTCCTGCGAGCTCATATGACCTTATGCAGTTGAGAAAACACTTACCATCTCTCTTCCTCTCTCTGTCTCTGTCCCTCCATCTCTTTCTATCTCTTTTGTGCAGGGTGTCCAGCAAAGTCGTAACTGGGGCTCTCGTGGCCTAGAGGTTAAGGTGTTGGCCTCTCATTCAAAGGTCCCGGGTTCGATTCCGGGTAGCGACCAAAAAATTTTCTTCTCTAAAATTGTCTCCTTTCACATCCTTTCCTGATCTCTAACAATGTTCTGTTGTCTGCTTTCATTTCCACTTTCTGCCCCCACCCCCTCACCTCCTTTGCCCCCTCCTCTGGGCTCCTGACTCTTTCTGCAGACTTTCTACTGCTACTCCTTGGCTCCTCCTAACTGCTGTCTTTCTGCCACACCCCTGATCTTCTGGTAGGAAAGATCTACACCTAGCCTTCTCGGACAAGGGCGAAAAATCTCGGAGGGCCCGTGTGCAAGTTGCGCACGTTAAAGATCCCTTGGTGGTCTAAAATCGACAAGAGTAGGCTTCGGCCGCCACCCGGGCAAAATTCCAAATTTCCTACCAACTGAAAATATTAGGTGTGTCCCGCGCGCTCATATGACCTATGCAGTTGCGAGCGCCGTAAAACCCTATACTAAACTAAAAAACTAAAAGTCGTAACTCGAGGCCCTGGTCGTAAAGGTCGTAAATGGTCGTAAATTTGCCTTGAAGGTAGTAAACATTTGACGGTCGTAAATTTGCCTTGAAGGTAGTAAACATTTGACGGTCGTAAATTTGCCTTGAAGGTAGTAAACATTTGACGGTCGTAAATTTGCCTTGAAGGTAGTAATCATTTGACGGTCGTAAATTTGCCTTGAAGGTAGTAAACATTTGACGGTCGTAAATTTGCCTTGAAGGTAGTAATCATTTGACGGTCGTAAATTTGCCTTGAAGGTAGTAAACATTTGACGGTCGTAAATTTGCCTTGAAGGTAGTAAACATTTGACGGTCGTAAATTTGCCTTGAAGGTAGTAAACATTTGACGGTCGTAAATTTGCCTGCATACTGAGTGATGAAGCCAGCAAGACTTTTCAGTGAACCCTAGCCGCTGCACATGACTCTCGTTTTTGCAGGGCGCGATTGTGATATAATATTCGTTCACCTTTTCCCCCTCTGAGAGTACGTTTCACGTGAAAAGCCGTCTATGTCGGCAGGTGGAAGTGTGTGATGTGACACCGAGGCTCGATCGGGAAAATCAAGATCTACTTTCTACATCCAGAAATTCGCCGACGATAAACTGATAACGCGAAATGTGTGATCAGGTTGTACTGTATAAACGCTGTGTCGCCACGCAAATAAAATGTAATCATCACTCGGACTCTTCTCCGTGCTGTCACTTGTGTGTGTGTTGGGGGGGGGGAGGGGTTGAAAAGAAAATACAAACGTCGTCCGATTTTTAGATTGTCGGGTTCGCCATCGTGACCGGTCAATGAACTTTCGCGCGAAGCACCACAAGATACTGCATCGGTGAGCACCGGCGTTTGTTGGGGTCGCCAAAGTTCATTAAAAAGTCTGAGCGTTGCGAAGTATTGGACTACGGAATAGGGCAGGGGATTATTGATTTTTTTTTTTTAGAGATACACTCAGGGGGGGGGGGGGGGGCTGAAGGCAACACCAGAGGACAAAAACTTGTTAGCAAATTTCTGAATTTTGATTAGATTTAGAGCCCTCTGCAAAGCGCGCGTTGGTGCACGCCTTGTGAGGAATCGGGATCCTTCCTATTATGTAGGCCGTGTTATTGAAGTTAAGTGTTTGCGTTTCATTGGTTGGGTGATAGTAAATTAGAACAATATTGTAGCTTTCTGTTCAAGACTGGCAGATTTTCAGTGTCACTGCCTCTTTCCCTCTCACATTTCTTACACCTCTCACACTGAATAGGTCTACTTGAGCCATTCAAGTTAAATTGCTCTACTTTTAGTTTGAGCAATAATTTTTGTCTTTCACGTTCATAAAATGAGTCATGACATCCAGACTGGTTCTTGACAGTAGAAATTCTTGTTCAAGGCCCCTCCAAAGGCTCAAATCAGGATTCATTATAAAAAAATTTAAAAAATAATAATGAAAGGAAAATAGGCCCCTATAAGAGACTGAAATACTTAAGTCAAACAAGGCCCCAATGCGACACCGACATGTTGTTGACTGGATATATTTTACGTGTGTGTGTGTGTTGTTGTGTAACATGGCCTTGGAAAGTGGAATACCCCCTGGAAAATTGAGAAGCCGGTTTGGCAGTCACTCTATGTGTACACATTAGGTCTAAATCTACCCGTACCCCCCCTCCCCCTCCCACCACCACCAGGGCAGTGCTACTGACTGAATCATCTTTAGGCCATTCCCAAAGGGAGGATTTTAACATGCACAGTAGAATTCTAAATATGGGCTGATTTATCAATGTCATGCTCATACTGTACTGGACCAACATAGGGGAACTGCTACTTTCTCTGTCCTCTTCTTTACTATCGTCATTTTCCTCTACTTCTTTTGTATGTTTGTCTCTCTTGTGAACTACTATTTCCGGGGATGCCTTGATAGTCGAAGTTTGATTCCCCGTTTGGGCTTCTCTGTTGACATCCACCCCTTGACGCTCATATGACCTATGCAGTTGCGAGCGCTGTAAAAACCTTACTAAAACTAAATCTAGCGGCGAGCAAGCTTGCGATCGTCTGCTGTCTATCCTCCATTTTGTCGACTGGACTTTGTTGTGCGTTCTTTTCGTTCCATATATTATGTAATAATAATATATGTTATTGATCGCGAAAATTAATCCCTTTTTCGAGCTGGTGTGGGGCTTTATTTGCTGGGTAGTAAATTTTTGTTCCAGGTAGTAAATTTTTTCCGGAAATATTGCTGGACACCCTGTTTCTGTCTTCCTTTTCATCTCTTTCTCTCTTTCTCTCCCCCTCTCTCTCCCTTTCCCTCTCCCCCCCACCTCTTCCCTGCCTTTAACTTTCTCTGCCTCCCCCCCCCTCTCTCTCTCTCTCTCTCTCTCTCTCTCTCTCTCTCTCTCTCTCTCTCTCTCTCTCTCTCTCTCTCTCTCTCTTTCTCTTTCTCTCTCTCTCTCTTTCTCTTTCTCCCTCCCTCTCTCTATCTCTCTCTATCTCTCTCTCTCTCTCTCTCTCTCTCTGTTTCTTTCTCTCTCTGTTTCTTTCTCTCTTTCTCTCTCAACATATTGAGTGCAAAGACTACGTAGTAGTGCGTATGTTTGAATTGAACCATAAGAGTCTAAATAGTAAACAAGTGTGGGTTTATCCCTGTCTGTGCTGTTCCTCCTCAAAAGGAAGGCTCGATCGATTCGCTGGGACCTCATATTTTGCATGAATTTTAAGATCCTGCCCAGGGGCAATAAATATGTACAATGTTTTTGTTTTTATCCTGACTCTCGGAAACATATGTGCTAGACTATGAAGTGGATGGCCTTGTTTTGAATCCACAAAGGGGTGTTTTTACGTTTTTAAGGCTCTGCACCCATTTAGCTTGGTCCTACGGGAGATGGATGTTAAAATTTGGAGGTCCTTCTTCTTAAATAATGTCACAGTATTGAAAGGGGTATAGAACGTCTACAATGACAATGACATAAAATGACGTTTAGTTGAAGTAGTTGTAGTTTTTAGAAGTTTAATTCTGCTGCCTGACTTTTCTGCCACTAGCTGGTCAATGTAAACAGAAGTAGAGTTTGAGATTATTCACTCCTCCGTTTGCGAAACTTGAAGTCTTATGAATCCGATAAAAATGTAAACTCTTGCTTTAACTCTTTATTTTCGGCTAGCTGCTGCAGTTTGAACTGCTATGCTGATGATCTGCTTCCACTGGCTCAGGCACATTCAGTTATGACGATGACTTTATATTAATTTTCAGTTGCTGAAAATAGGTCTCTCTTACAGGGAGTTTCTTTGTTAGATGAAGAACCAACAAAATAGGTTTGTGTATTTTGATTCAATAACCAATTTAGTGATGTATATGTCACTCTCAGGATTTGTACCAAAAGAGGGATCCGGCATAGTGGGAAAACCTCTTCTGGAGGTAAAGAGTAATGGTATAGTATGTATTGATTTAACAACCTTTAGAACACTTTGAGGTTATTTGACTCATTATCTCTGAGGGGGGTTAATGTACTATGCTGGGACCATCTTTTGGTACGAAATCTAAAATTGACATATATATATATATTTACACATCATTAATTGGTCATGAAATCAAAACAAGTGAACTTATTTCGATAGTTCTTGATCTAATGAATGAAATTCCAGTATATGAGACCTGTTTCCAGCAATTGCTGAAAAGTAATATGATGTCGAAGTCATTGTAAAGGAAAGTGCCCAAGCCGCTGCCAGTAGCTCAACTGCACAGTGGATCCGACTGCAGCAGCTTGCCGGAGATAAAATGTTAAGAGGCAGAACCTTGAATGTAATGTCTCTCACTGGTGAGAGAAAGAGAGGAAGGCTGAGATCCATCTGGGAGTGAGATCTTGAGGCAGATCTTGGGCGTATTGGGCACAGCTGGCTGAAGGGTGAGATTACCCAGAACAGAAATAGGTGAAGAACTCTTATTGGCAGTGTATGCCCAATATAAGGATGAAAGAGGCTGATAATGAGTAGTTGGAAAGCTTTGAAAACTCCTTAAATCCTTATCTGTGGCAAGCTGCTCCCAGTGGATTGCCATCAGGACTGATGTGCTTGTGAGCTGCTGGCAGCAGCTCAGGCACATTCCTTTACAATGACTTCGACGTCAAATTAGTTTTCGGCAATTGCTGAAAACAGGTCTCTTTTGCCTCTAGTTCTTTCATTAGATGAAGAACTATCCAAATAGATTTATTTGTTTTGATTTTAAAATGATCAGTTTGTGGACATATATATGTAATTTTTAGATTTCGTACCCAAAGAGGACCCTGGCATAGTGGGTTTACCACCCTTCTGAGAAAAGAGTTAAACAACACAAGCACAAGAAAGTGCCATAGGAGAATCAAACCAGTGTTGTCCACACCATGGCCCAGTTTGATGTCAACTGAGCTAATGGTGGACCCCAGCTTTATGGACCTGAGACAAATAATGTATCATTTCGTGAGTCAATCAATCTGGTAGGGATATGTGCAGGGTCGTGCAATTGATTATTATTATCAATGTTATCTCTGCAGTGCCCACAGGAGTACTGTCCTTCAACCGTCGGACCTTGGACAATACTTTGTGGCTGAAGGACAGCGTTGATTTTACAAAGATGCACGTGTCATGTGATGGAACCATAGAAGATGATGGACGTGGAATGCTGCAGGTTGTCATACGTGAATTACATCGTTTGTTTGTTTATTTTTTTTATATGTTTTGATTTCTACTTCTGGATTCTTAGTTTCAGTTGATAGGATGTTCTCACTCAGCTAGGGTTAGCTCTGATAGGAGGGTCAAAGGTGCTGACCTCCCAAATGATCTAAATGGTGTTAATGGATCTGTAAAACACTTTAAGCTATTTGTCCTGATTCTGCTGTCTGGGTGGGTGGTTGGCAGGTGCTCGGGTGTGGTTTGCCCCTTATTTCTTGCCAAACATTTTTTGTTTTCTTTTCTCTCCTCCTTTACTTTGTATGTTACTCTCTAGTACCACTTCTAATCCTAGGCACTTGTATGACCTATTTGTGTTGCAAGTGCTGTAAAACTTTTATTAAATTTTTTAAAGTAAACTAATATGCGATCTTGACAAGTTGCATTTTATTTTCTCCCCCCACCCCCCTCCCCCGCCAAAAGGCTGACTTTGCCAACAAGTATGTGGGTGGAGGAGTCCTGGGTCGAGGCTGCGTGCAGGAAGAAATTCGCTTCATGATCTGTCCAGAGATGATTCTCTCTCGACTTTTCACCGAAGTCTTAGAGGACAGGGATATTTTGATTATGAAAGGTTGGTGGAGAATCAATATTGCTATCTGTCGTGAGTTTGTATAGCAATTGAATGCTTTGATTTGAAATGATGATTTTTTAAATTGTGCTGCATCTTGTTATAACTGGATTTGAGAATTGGAACACGGAGGGTGTGGAAAAATATGGTAAAAACGGTATTAGTAGCAGAAACAGCCTGCTTTCAAATACTTAAAGTTCTCTTCCTAATTTTTAGAAAATAAAACCACTGAAGTTGCTGGAAGTCTTAGCTGGAATGTGTTTGCAGGTGCTGATGTGACTTGTTTTCACTGTTGTCCTTATGTGTACGTATAAGTGTCTGGCTTCGAAAATTTTTCCTCACGCGGTTGAACTGGTTTTCTTCTTAATATGATATGTTTTTCTTGTTTGGGATAGAGTATCATGTAAATGCAATCTATTATTATTATTTTAAGTGAACATTGTGGACAGGTTCAACTGTTTGAAATATGGTAAAGTAAACACTCATAATAAAACATCTTCTCCGTGGCAACTGAGAATTGAACCTGCCTCCCGTTATCTTATAATTACGCGTCTGATTCTTTTGCCAGTGATCTTAGATTGCTTACCCCATGGGGTAGTAGTGTCTTTAGGCCATTCCCAAAGGGGGGACATTTCTCGTTCAAGCACAGTAGGAAATTTTTAATGGGCTGATTCATCATGTCACGCTCATAACTGTGCCTGATCTGCAACAGGGAACTGCTGCTTTTTCTTCCCTAATCCTTACTATTGTCATTTTCCTCTACTTCTTTTGTATGTTTGTCACACTCTTATGACCTGCTATTTCCGGGGTGCCTTGATAGTCGAAGCAAACTTTGTGCTGTTGAAGCTAGAGAGGTGAGCAGAGTAAGTCTGATTCCCTGTAAAGTGTAAAGACTTCTCTGTTGACACCCACCCCTTGGCGCTCGTTTGACCTTATGCAGTTGCGAGCGGGGTAAAACCCTCTATTAAAACTTAAATTGCTCCCATGACTGACATGTCACTGTAAATTATGTTTCAGGTTGTGAACGATTCAGTAATTACGCTGGGTATTCTGACAGCTTCAAATGGAATGGAAACCATGTTGATACAACTGAAAGGTATTGGAAGATTTGACAGGTTGTTGTTTTTTTCTGATGATGTGTTCGAAGTTTTTGTGAGGCGTGCTGACAAATGCGTTACTTCTCGCAATCCATAAATGGAGATATTGACCAAAAGTCGACATTAGGGTCACATTTGTAGCTTTTTAACTGAGCCATATACTTCAAGCATAACATGCCTTTAATCATTTCATAATTATAAATTGTAAAAATTTCACCCATAAGCGTGGTGTATCTATTTCTTTTGGGTTTGAATCCAAGAAGTAACTCATTTTGTCAGCACGCTTCACATTTGTGTCTGGCATTATTCTGGACTTTTGATACAATTTTTTTTTCTTTTTGTCCTCCAGAGATCTGTGTTAGCGAGCATTTTATGGCACTTGCAACACAATAAGGTCATGTAAGTGCCGAAAATTAGAGGTGTTACAAGAGAGGAACGAACACAAAAAGGAAAGAGGAGAGCTCCACAGACCTGGTGTGCATTTTTTTGTATCAAGATTAGAAAAAAGGATTGCTTACTTATTGTCTTTAAGTTTAACGGGAGGAGCGACCCGTGAGAACCATTTTCTATGTTTGTTGCCCGAGATCAAATCTAAGTACACATATAAATAAGTTAGGCATAGTAAAATCTTTTGGTATGCAATTTTATTTTGCTATAGCTACAGCGGTTGCTATGGAAACGGCCGCCATCTTGAAAATAAACAATGAATTTCAAATCCCTAAGGCTTTCTTATTTTCTGTGCAAATTTGACCAAATTTGGTGAGAGTATACCTGAACGAGACCCTATCAGCGTGACTGCGAGTTTTTTTCAATAAGTGCAAAAGGAAAAAAAAAAAAAAGAGAATTTTCCCAAATTGGAAAAAACCTTTCCTAAATTTCGGTTGCATAATCGCTTGCCAATGGAAAAGTGTTATTTTTTCGCAGCCTTGCCGTCTATTTTTCCTGAAAGTTTCATGTAAAAAAGATGAAAACTAAGGATGGAGTGGGGAAAAAACTGCAAATAAATGACATTTTGCTGAAAACGAATTATTGTAAAAATTCACTATATTAACACACCCTCATGTATTCATAGGCCATTCACGAGGAGAATAGACTTCTAAAGACTTTCTCAATTGTTTTCATGCTATTTTTAGGCAAAGAATTGGTTGATCTTCAAAAATCAGGAAAGATCTCAATGTGCATAGCCTGACCCAAAATGGGCAAAATCAAAGGTCGCTCCTCCCCTTAAGCTAATGTAGCTTTCACAGAAAAGTGGAAAGTGGGAAGACATGGAGTGGGCTGTTGGAGGGTGCCACTGGTAGGTCCCACTTCTTTACTTTCCTTCTCTGTTGTTTCTGTCTGTCTGTCTTACCTTTTCCCCGCACAAAATGACCATTATTGTGTCAATGTGCTTCTATTTACTTTAAACAATACAAACAAACAAATGAACACATGGAATAACATCAAGAGGCTGGCACAGGATAGGGAAAGGTGGAAAGTGTTTGTTCATGGCCTTTAACCTGACCCAGGATGAGAAAGGCAATGGTGATGATGAATGTAGCTTTCAAAGAGGCCCAAGTAGTTATTTGCTATGAGCTGGTAACAATTCTTGGAACTTTTTGCAAAAACGGGCAGTGTTAAGTGAGTTGCGTTGGTGAAATCTCCCATGTTTACTATTTCAGAGACTGTTTGGGAAGACTGTGGACAGAGGTGGTTGCTATGGATGCTGTACGGGTCAAGAGGACTGACAACCAGTTTGCAGAGCATATGGTCAATAGAGAACTGCACAAGGTAGAGATATTTGTTTTGGTTTTAGTAGTAACAGGATGAGTTTTACAGCACTTGCAACACAATCAGGTCTTACTGGTGCTGAAGATGAGAAATTGTGTTACTTGAGAGTAACGTACAAAGAAAAGGAGGAGAGATAAGGACAAGCGAATTTTAATAGGAAAAAAGGAGCAAACTGCAATATTGCACTCGCTAAGATTTTTGTTTACTTTTGTAGTATCTGTTAAATGACTTGTTACAGTGTTTTGATAGGGGTTCTATCTTTTGCCTTAAAATATAATTTTACTCTTATAAATACCTTTTACAACTGTTACATAGAAAATTTAGCTTAACCCTTCCAGCCCCATGCGCATATATTTTCAGCAGCGCCTGTACCTCCTACCGTCTCCAGAGCGTATATTCTCAGTTTTGTGGGATACCGAAAATGCGCATTTTTCGCAATTAACAAACCTAATTAGACTCTACTTTTCATAACATTTGTTCATTTACCTTTAAACATTGTTATATGTTATTATCTGAACCTCATTACAAAGATACTACATCACTTTTGAGAATGCAAGCCTCTTTTTCTGAAATACCGCTGTGTTGGCTGGGACTGGGGTTAGGGAGTGCACAAAAATGGCTGGGGCTGGAAGGGTTAAATTAAATGAAAACTACTCTGATCAGCCGCCAGAGTACATGCTTCCCCCCTAATGTACCTGTCGTCGACCAGTTGTTCAGATGTACTGAGCCCAAGATTTAAGACATCCCCAAAAAATCAGTTCTTAATCTGTAGTATGGGTTGCATGTGCTCGAAAAACGTTTTGTCGAAATTGAACTTCTAAATATTGAAAAAAAAAGCCAAAAAAAATATATAGGTGGGTTCGTTTGTTGAAAGAATGAAACAATGTTTTCTCTCTCCTGAAAAATGTTACTTTTTGTTTTGTATATAGCATATATACATATATATATATGTATAATATATGCAGTCGAACCTGTGTAAGACGGCCACCCATTGTCAAGGAGAAAAGTGGCTATATAAGACAGGTGGTCGTCTTAGGCAGGACTGATCAAGATGAAGAAAACAAACCATTCCTTTCTGAGGTCCCAACTGAAGGTGGCTGCATTGTTGTTGTTGTTGTTGTTTTCGCTGTTTTTTGTGTGTTTTTTTTTCTCTTTTTTCTTTTGTTGCTGCTTTTGTGTAAGGGTGACAATATAACGAAATGTGTCAGACAAGGAGGACTGAGTGCTATGGTAAAACAAACATAGGGGTCGCCACAACTCGGAGAATGAGCGACGCTTCTGTCACAAGTTCATGTTGACGTCCATTGTTACTTTGTTACAGACTGGGTAAACAGTGACAACTCATCTTACTTACGATTTGTGTATGAGTTCTGGGAGGGGTTTATGGGTTATAAGGAATTACACGTTTACCTCACCAGCAGCGGAAAATTTGTTACCAATTGGTCAACAATGGGAGGGTCCTACACAACATGATTGGCTGGAGGAACTACCTAACAAGGACAGGTGATTGCATTATGACAGCTCGCCCCCAACGCCAGGGGCCAATGCACAATTTATGACAGAACGTAATAGGGTCACTTAGGTGGCCATGTAAGACAGGTGTTACTGTTATTGTTTGGTGTTATAGGGTTGTGTGTTAAAATATGGTGGCCGAGGCCGGGTGGACAGGTGCCCGTTTGACACAGTTAAATTATACAGAAAAAATGCAAGGGAGGAAATGGAAAGTGGCCATTTGTGCTGGTGGCCGTCTTATAGAGGTGGCCGTCAGGGCAGGTTCGACTGTATATATATATACATATATAAAGAGCACAAGGGAAAAAACAGGGGATGTCACTTTTTGACATTTTGAGAAAAATACAGAAGAACTGCTTTACAGCCCACATAATTTCATAGTAAAACTTTTTTTCCAAGCTTAATATTGGGCAACTCGTCAGGTTTTAGTCCTCGACTCTTAGATTGGCCAGTATAGGTGTGTAAACATTTTCCAACCAACGTAAAAATGGCAAAATTCTCAAATTTTGGATTTAAGTAAATTGCTTGCGACACTGACGATATTATGTCTTGATGCCGTTTCTCTCTAAGGCCTTCTGCGCTTTTGTTGACCCTGAGCACAACGACAATCTGCCTGCTGTTTGCACTGGGAACTGGGGCTGTGGGGCATTTGGAGGAGATAAGCATTTGAAAGGTGACTAGTTTTATCTGTGTCTTCTGCCTTTTTGGGGAAAGATGTTTCTCCCTCTGTTTTTTCTGTACACTTGAAAGGAATGTATAGTTTTTATTTGTATATTATGTTGTATTTTGTTTTTGTTTTTATTTTTCAAGAGAAAAGTCTATGTTGAATTATGAGAGTACAGTTGAAATTGTCTATGATGGCCACCCATTGTCTAGAAGAAAAGCTGTTGTTTCAGGTAGGTGGGCGTTTTGGACAGCGTCATTGAAATATATAGAAAAAGTACAATTGGGAAGTGGTTGTTTGCACAGGTGATTGTCTTTAACAGGTGGCCATGACAGCAGGTTTGATTGTACTCTTCAGTACAGATCTTCAAATGCTCTTAACAGCATTTTTATCATATCATCAGTAAATGCATTTTGTTCTTAATATGACCCATTACAGTTTATTCAAGAGTCTTCAGTTTTTTTGTTTTTTTTAGATCTGAGTCTTTATAAGGCACAAATCATGGGGGGTTCAAGGTGGAGTAGGGGACAAAGACTTTATTCTTTGATAACAAGGATTCTGTATGTTGTAAGAACTCATTTTGTTTGTGTAGTTCTGCTATCCTAGCATAAGTGTGAAGCATTGTGGTGAAACCAGGGGCTCGTCAAAATAGTGACTTAGAAGAAATTGGATTTTTTTTGTCTGTATGGTTATCTTTATCTAATTTTGTTGTTTTGGCTCAACACCTTATATGTCCATTTAAAAGCACATTTATGTGTGGATTTTACGGCAAAACGTTGATTAACTACACAGAATATGTATATTTTCAGTTTTCAAGGAATCTCAGCTGTGGAAGTCACCGAACTTTGGCGGCCATTTTCTCCCTAATTTTACATCTGAAAACAAGCGAACCCACCACATTCAATCGCAAATTTCTTTACTTCTATTCAAGATAGATTGGTATTTATTTAATTGAGAACTAGACAAACGGACAAGCTTAAAAATGATACTAATAATTCCACATTCCCAAAAATTGACGAGCACCTGATTCCACTGTGTCGTGACACAAATTCATTTTCTTGTTTCGTCTCTTTTATGCTCAGCTTTGATCCAAATGATAGCTGCCAGCCATGCAAAGAGAGAGATGTGCTATTTCACCTTTGGCGATAATTCATTGTGTGATGAGATTGCCAAAATTAACTACGTTCTATGCAGTGAAGGACTCTCTACAGGTATTTTTACAACAACTTTTTAAAACTTTGAAACTTTCAGCATTTTTATCTCTGATGAGCAATGAGAACTGTCGAACACTTTGGTGTAAAAAGTAAAACAGATGAGAGATTGCAGTCTATTTCAGTTGTCTGTCAAGTTACACTCACAAACTCTTTAGAGTGAAAATACAATAAAATTAAATTGATAGTAAAAAGAGTTCAGTTTTTCCAACCTCAGAACAAAAGTTCTTAAAACATTAAGTAGCCTATATTTGTTAATGGAAGATCATTATAGCTACAGGGGAATCCTGTTACAACGAGAGAGAGGGGACCGGTGCCAAATGTCCGTTACAGCAGGATTTTCGTTATAAGGGATCCAGTAATAAATTCAAAAGAAACTGTAAAGTAGGCCTAATCTATGAGTCTGGTTCGGTTTATTTCTTTTTGTAATCTCCCCTGATGATGATGGTTTGGTTCAACATGACCTTTAAGTCTCACTTGATCAAAAGTCGAATCAGGTTTCTTTCTCTAGCGCTAGCAATGTTGACGATCAGAAAGAAAGTTCTCTCGGCTAACTCGCCCGTTGTGTTGTCCCCCACCCCACCACACCTTGTGGTGCATTCCGTCTGCTTGCACACAATCGGAACATACCACACCCCGCCCACGTCACACATTTGCTCCGTCCATCACAGTACAGCACTATGACTTCTCGTCCCCGCATCTGAGAAGTAAGACGCATGATAGGCCTATATAATTTAGATTAGGCTGACCTATCACACGATGCGTTCTGTTTGTCTGTGCTTGCCACACTCTTTCCACTCTTTCGATCCTGCCATTATTGTTGGCACACGTGGGCTCTCCCATTCTTTATTTCGCAAGATAACCAACAAGTTTCTCACCTGGCGATGTTTTACATATGAATAAATGGCCTGTAAGTGTACTGTGCACAGCAGCGGCAATATTCGGTTATAACCAACTCGTGCGTTTGTCTGATTGCGTTATAGTAGTATTTTATTTAAAAAGATAGATGGGCCGGGACGAGAGAGTGAGGCTGACGACCATGCGCAACTCTCCCTCACTTTAATCCAACACATGCGCAAGTCATCTTCATCACATCCTATATGGAGAACTTCAGACTGGAGCACACTCCCATGGAGGTCAGAAGAAGCGGTTTAAAGACACCCTGAAGGCCTCTCTGAAAAACTTCGGCATTGACCACAACTCGTAGGAAACGACAGCCCAAAACCGTGCAGCCTGACGTGGAGCCATCAGCAAGGGAGCGGCAGCGTATGAATCATGGCGTCTGGAAACAGCGAAGAGCAAGCGCGCAACAAGAAAGTCCCGTGCAAGCAGTGCTCCCGCAATTCATGACCTTACAGCGCTACTTGCCCTCACTGCCCAAGGACCTTCAAGGCGAAGATTGGCTTAATCAGCCACCTGAGGACCCACCCCATCCCCCGGATATGATGAAGAAGGTCTTCTGGTCTTCTTCCCTCAGGAAGGACGAACACCATTTACAAAGATAAGGAAGGGAAAAAACGGGTTTTAGAATAGTGTCTTTATAACAGACTTCTCGTTATTTCAGGACTCATTATAAGTGGATTCCACTGCAGTTCACTTTCGTCTGTCCGCGTTAAAAAAATTATAGCATATTTATTCGTATACCCATGAGACTTTGCCATGCACTTCTGCAGGCCTGTGACCAAACAAAAAAAAAAAGATATATTGATCCAGTAATAAGAAAGTTTTTCTATTTGGGTCCTATATTAAAAACTGGTCTTTGGATGCAAACACAAGATCAGTAAAATAAATGGCTTACAGTAACTTTGCCTACAAATTGCTCATTTTGAGACAAGGACACCACCCTGCCCCCACATTTCTGTGTAAGCTTGTAGATTTCATCCCCCAGCTGTCTAGACGTCTCCACGTGCTCCACTTGAGTATTGAAAATTACTCACCACATCTCATGAAACGTGTATGTTAGGCGAGCGTTAAAGTGTGGTGTTGAGGAAAATATATCAACTTTTCAATGTTTTAGGTTTATGCTGTAAGTCCCCTGTGATTTTTTTTTTTACCCACTTTAGGCTTACATCAAAGAAAACGTGTTGGAACCTTAGTTTGCAGTGATTTTTACGAATTTGCTTTTAGATTCTGTTGGTCATCCAACTTTTAGACCCGTATGCAGAGGTCTGAGAAGATTAAACAGAGCGATTAGATTTTCTCTTGCCTTAACCACGGACAGACGAAAGGGATCAAGTTATAGGCATATGGAAATTCAAAATGAGGAACTAGAGCCTCAGGAAAGGGCTAGTGTAAGAATATCAGAATATCATGTGTTACATAACTCGCACTTATACCTGCAGATCTTCTAGAAGTTTTGGAACTTCATTAAGATTCAACTAATGTGAGGCGTGCGACTGGTTGGCGGGTGCTGTGGTATAGTTTGCTCCTTCTATCCTAACAATCATCTGTCGACCTTGTCTCTCCTCCTTTTTTCCATGTTTGTTACTCTCTTGTAACACTTCTAATCTTCGGCCTTTGTATGACCTTATTATGTTACAAGTGCCGTAAAACTCTTATTATGGCTAAGATGTGAGGCGTACTGACAGAACAAGTTACTTCTCACAATCCACTTACTTATGGAGATCTCTGCAAAAGTCAGTGCAAAGGTTAAAATTGTACATTTTTAAACCTTTCTTGAGCTGCACACACATATACCTATAAATTCTACAAATTCAACCTTTAAATTTGACTTATTTGTCCATAGGGCTAAAATACGAGAAGTAACTCAGTTTGTCAGTAGGCCTCACAGATATGCTCAGTGTTACTTTCACCTGTGTCTTGTTTCTGTCTTCTTCTCAACAGTGGACGTCCTGAACAAGATCAGAGAGTTTCGCCACCAAGAGCTGCTTGGCAATAAGAAATCCTTGTTTAAGTTCATCGTGACAGAGTTTGGTTTGGGATGGAAAGATGTTTAGGAAGTGGGTCATCTTCGTTTTCAAGAGCACTGTTTAGGGTCTGCAGTGAGGAGACAAATTTGGGGGTTGTTACCTTTATTATTATTGTTCTTTGTCATGTACGTCCTACCACCTTCGTTACTTTTTTCTTTGACATGTGCCTCCTCTCCTTTCATATCGTTTTCTTTGACATGTGCCTCCTCTCCTTTCATTATCGTTTTCTTTGTCATGTGCCTCCTCTCCTTTCATTATCGTTTTCTTTGTCATGTGCCTCCTCTCCTTTCATTATCGTTTTCTAGGCCTGAACGTCCTCTCCTTTCATTATCGTTTTCTTTGTCATGTGCCTCCTCTCCTTTCATTATCGTTTTCTTAGGCCTGAACGTCCTCTCCTTTCATTATCGTTTTCTTTGTCATGTACCTCCTAAACTTTCATTATTGTTTTTGTGTACCTGTCAGGTTAACAAAGATGATGGCAGTCCTGAGGAAGGAGAGTTGTTGAATGGTTATGTTATATCCTGTTCATTCTCTTTGTTCGTTGTCATAAATACTCCTCAGTTTCCCGCCCTCTGTGATCAGACACTAAATTTTACAGACTTTTTCCCCCTTTCTGCTAATGCTTGTTTTCCTTTTTTTCTACTTCCACTTTGTTTCCCCTTTGGTTTTTCCAGCTTTAATTTAATGAACTTGTGTTGTTTCTATCTCCCCCTGCCCTGGAAAGGCGCTGATAATATTATTCCTTTTTTGCACTGTGTGTAGTGTTTCTACTGTGACCAGTTTCTTACATGTCTATTTAAAACACGGGCAATCAATAAATTGCCATATGTCATCATATATTGGCAAGCACCGTCCCCTTAGTTGGTGGATTGTTCACTAACACCAACACTTCAAAACAAAACAAATCAAGGTTTATGCTCTACTTATGTATTTTTCATCAAGTCTTAAATGTAGATCTTTCAAGTGTAAGTTTTCACTAACCTGTATTAGATCTAGATCCAGTTTTGTGTTCCTCCTCGCTGGGCCCAGCTCGCCTGAGTTCTGTCTTCTCTCTAGGCTCCTGACACGAGAAATTCTCCCGTGAGTAGTCACCGGCTGAATATAAACAACTCACGGGCTGAATGTAATGTTTGCCACTTTGGACTTTGGAAGGCCAAACCGTGGCCTACAAGTGGAACGAGGAGCAGTCGTTTTCTTTCACAGTGACAATGTCCGGATTTCATTGCGTTGTTCAGGTCCTTTAAAAAGTTGCCTATTATATTTCCAGAGAGCCAAAGTAAAAGAAATATCTTTCTTATTTCATGGATAAGAAGCTCAGGCTTAATAAGCACTTTTTTGTGTGGGGGGTTTTAAGTTGTGTCCTATATAAGGTGATATACATTACTGAACTGAGCTGATGAGATCTCGAGTGGTTCGGCAAGGCACCTTCCAGGGATGGAAGCTGCTTTTCATGTTCTTGTTCATCTTTAAATGAACATCCCAGTCTTTAGTGAGAAGACTGCACTGCTGTTTGCAGCAGGACCTCCAGGTCCCCATAGAGTTTTGGGTCTCTCTGCCCAGGGTTGGGCCAATATTTCTTTCTGAGCACCTTGAGCACTGTGCAGGCTTTCAGCAAATGGTTCCCTATTTGAACGCCGGTTCCGCACTGACCATGCTCTGACTGAAGCTGCTTTGTTTTTTGTTTTTGTTTTTGTTCAGTTGTGTTTGGGTTCGTAGCCACTCAAATAATCTTTGCGCTCATTCCATTGTGTGTAGTGCTTCTTGATTACTTGAGTGATGTGATTTGAGTATTGGAACTATGACTATGATTGCAGTATTCTGATTTTCATTGGTATTGTACCCTGTCTTATGAAATTTTCTTTTTTGTTTGACATGAAATGAGCTTCTTTGCAAGTGTACAATAGTGAACTCTAAATCTTTACAGAAAAAGGTTTGAAAGAGAGTCTCAAAATTGTTGCTTTTGTTTTATCTTGTCAGTACAGTTGAGGCGATGAGGTTACCTTCTTCTAATCTTTTTCTTTTTCCCACTTTTAAACCTGTTGTGTTTATGGCAAAATATAGCCATTGTTTAACTTATTCAGCTTATTGTGATTACTTGATATATGTACTTCAATTCCTCTGCATTTTTTTCCACGAACAATGAGTGCAGTTGAGATGCTAACACATGGATCAAGTCATCTTTTTCAGCCCTAGTCTTGTAAGTGTTTTGACAATCCTTGAGATAGCTACTGCAGTGTGAATAAAGGCATCACTCAAATTGTCAGACTGGTTTATTAGCTCATTCCCTTCTCAGAATTATCATGTAACTGAATATTTGTAATGGTACTCAGTGCATCTTCAGCTTTTCCCTGTTTTAAAAGGCTCACTTCTGGATCAATTTCCTCTCATCAATTCACTCACAACGTATAACTTTTTCTTTTTTCAAGTGGGAGCTCTGATATGGTTTTCCTTTTTTATCTGTGGGTTGCTATTGTGTCTAGCAGTTCCTGGTGAAAAGTATCCTTCAGCACCACACATAACATCAGGTGTTGTGATGATTGTAAATGCCTTTCCACTGGGCTATGTTGTGTCATCAGTTTTGTTTGTTTATGAATGGACCTCTCACACCTGCAGTTTGTTGAAGGCCCCGACTAAATGCTTTTTACCCCTATCAACACCATACAGGTGTCTTTGCTGTAGTGGTTAGGCTTTTTGCTGTTGTATGCAGGAGACGCAAGTTGGATTACTGCATGGGGAGAAAATTTCTCTTATCTCGGTCTTTCTGCTGGGATGTTGTATCCCTCTCAGCCAGGGTGGGCCCTGACAGGCAGGGTTAAAAGCTTGCCTCCTTAATTCTTTTTCTCGAGGGAGATAAACCCACTACGCCGGAGCCCTTTTTTGGTGCTAAAACTAAAAATGACATAATCGTCCTTAAGTGGGTCATTCCATCGAAACTAGCAGACCTATTTTGATAGTTCTTCTTCTAATGAATGAACAACCGGTATAAGAGACCGGTTTTCGGCAATCCGAAAAGTAATTTGATGTCGAAGTCGTCGTAAAGGAATGTGCCCGAGCTGCTGTCAGCGGCTCACCGGCACAGTGGTTCCGACCACGAGCCGCTACCAGCGCTGGTAGCGGCTTGCCGGAGATAAAGAGTTAATTACCTAAATTTGGACTGGGCTGTAAAAACACCTACTTTTTAAAAATTGTTCAAATATTATCAGAATTCGTTGCTGCAGGATTCTAAACACTTAACTTAAAAAATGTGGTTTTTGTTTTTTCCCCAGAATTCTGACTGACATCTCACGACACATGCTATTAATAACTCAGCCAGATTAACGTTTTCCAAATAGTGGGTACAACATTGAATTATAAACAGCTAAAATGTGTATAAAAAGCCTTGCTTTTTTAGTTTTTCTCTCTCCAATAAAATTCACAGAAACTGGGTTAGCCATTGAGAATCCTTTCAACGAAGATATTAAATCATTAACACTTTGCAGTCACACAGCCAGCAGTACAAAATACCCCATCTGGTCATCCAGCCAGGAGAGTGACTGCAACGGACCTCTCGGGCCTGGCGCACAAATGCGCCAGGTGACCAGAACGGATAATTAAGTGACTGCAATGTGTTAATGAGACGGCGGGCTTCTAAGCATTGTCCTCCAGAGTTGGGGCAAAATCTACATCACATCAGGAACAGAGAGGCATGATTAAATTCTATCTATCTTGAATAGAAGTTGAGATATTTATGACTAGAGGTGGGGGTCGCCAGGTTTCAGTGATAAAATTAGCTAGAAAATGACTGCCTAAATGTGGTGACTTCAAAAGCTTGAGGGTCCTTGAAAAACTACAAATGTACTTTTTTTTTTGGTATCACACTTGCTTTGGCATGGGATGGACATGAACTAAGTTGATGTACCAGTACAGTGTAGGATGTAACAGTACAGTGTACAGTAAACTACAGTACAATGCAATAAGGTGAATTAAAAAATAAATACGTATGAAAAAACTGCTGGTATTTTTATTATGCCTTCAAGGACACAATTTAGAGTGTTTGTGTTTGTAGGAGGCGAGTTTTTGACCCTGCCTGTCGGGCCATCCCGGGCTCAGATGGATACAACATCACTGCAGAAAGACTGACATACTCAATAAAAATTTCTCCTCACTTGGGAATCAAACGTGGGTCACTGAATGCAACAGGTTAGCGCCTAAATGTTTCACCACAGACGCTGAAACGGTTAAATTATTCACTTTTGTTCAAGTTGAGAAAAAACTAGATACTTTTTTGTTTAGATCATTTTCGAGATCATCAGATCATGACATTGCGCTTATACAGTGGAATCCTGTTATAACGAGAGGGAGGGGGCCGGAGCAAAATGTCCGTTATAGCAGGATTCTCGCTATAAGGGATCCAGTAATAAATTCAAGGGAAACTAAAGTAGTCCAAATCTATGATTTTGTGGTTCTGTTTATTTCCTTTTACTATCTCCCCTGATGATGATTTGGTTTCAACATGCCCTCTAGGTCTTACTTGATCAAAAATCGAATCAGGTTTCTTTCTCTAGCGCTAGATCTAGCGATGTTGACTGACAGCTCGGCGTTGGTGATCAGAAAGAAAGGGCTCTCGGCTAACTCGCCCGCTGTGTTTTCCCCCACCCCACCACACCACACCCTGCAGTGCGTTCCGTCAGCTTGCGCATGTCACTAATTCACTCCATCCATTACATTATTACATTGCTGTGAACTCTCCATCCCCGCATCAGAGAAGTGAGAGGCATGGTAGGCCTTGATAATCTAAACTAGGCTTACACTGGCCTATTACGCGATGCGTTCTGCTTGTCTGGGCATGCCACACCCTCCCTACTCAGTCGCTCTGGCTGTCTTTGTTGACGCACATTGGCTCTCCCATTCTTTGTTTCACTAGATCACCAACAAGTTTTTCAACTGGCGAGGTTTTTTAATTATGTATAATTGACCTATGCACTGTGCACAGCAGCAGCAATATTCCGCTATAACCGACTCGCATGTTTGTCTGATTGCGCTATCCAGTATTTTATTTACAAAGGCAAAGAAGAGAAAAAAAACGGGGTTTTAGAACAGTGTCTTTATAACAGACTTCTCATTTTTTCCGGACTCGTTATAAGTGGATTCCACTGTATATCCTTGGTAATATTACTCTATGCTGTATTGACATTGCGTACGATTTTCCGTGTATCTTCTGGACTACTACATTCACGTGTGCACATTTTTTCTATTTTTGTAAGTAAAGAAAGTTTCACAGATTAATGCGAACATTACTTCTGAGCTTACTGTCCTCTTCTGTCAAGCCATCCGGTTTCATGAACTATAATAACTGACAAAAATTTTTCTTTTTTTTGTGTAAATCATGATCTTTGAATTTGAAAGAAAGTAAGACTTTTTGTTTTGTGCAGTTAACTCCAAACTTTTAACATGTGAAGAATTTACAGTTACAGTTAAGAGAAATGCCTGTACTCTGCAGTGCTTTGTACCCACAATCAGACATGCACACATAGCGAAGAGCTTTTCAGGTTTCGCATTGTTTTTTACACATAATTTTTTTTTTCCTTGTATTTAAAACACGTTCATAAAAATCATTGTGAAATTTGTGCACATAACTAAAAGGTGTTGGCTAGTGGGTAGGCTGCCAGACTCCTATTCTTGAGATCACGGATTTGGGGGGTTCGAGCCTCAGCTCGGTCCGACTTCGTGTCCTTGGGGAAAAGCACTGTCAACGATTTTCCCAATTGGCTTGGTACTTTCAGAGAGATAGACGTACTCGGAGGTCCCACCTCTTAAAAATAGCGAAATAGTGCTGATAGGGGCGTTAAACTTATAGGCTACCATTTCACCATAAACGAAAAGATTTCTGCATCCGGATGGTTTTGGTTTGTACTTGTCCGACTGTAGCCTACTTTCTCCTTCCAATAGTCTAGCAGGCACTTACAGGAAAAAGCACATTGGGAACAGGTTTTCAGATCTGAATTTTTTCTTACATATTTTTTGTATTCAAAACACTTACTATATCTGGTATTGTTGGCTCTTGTGTCAGTGTGCTCCCTCTTCAACAGAGATTAGATGTACACACTCAGGGCTGCCCACCCTCTAGCATGTTTTAGTAATCAACAAATATAGAAAATGAGTGATCTAGCTTCATAATTCATAATATGGCCTGGGATAGTCTTCTTCCCTGGGGTGTCAAGGACAGGGATTGTAGTAAAGTATAAAAGTAATGTAAAGAAAGGCGTGTCGAAAAAAGAGGTTTTGCCAGGCTTGTCATTGTTAAGAAAAAAAAGAGGGAGTTGCTGCTTGCAAAAACAAACGGCCTTTGCAACTACAGAATACAGAATACGCCACAAGCCTTTGTTGATCCTGACTGTGCATCGCAACACACCATGCCAGGCATCCACCATGGCTTATTGTTTCAAGTTTCAGAAAATGAACCATAAAAAAAAATTGTCTCTTTGACCTATACTGTTACCTATATATATTATAACGCAAAAGGACAAGAATATTTTAACACCTTGTCAACCTTCTGTTTGCCTTACAGTCCTGGCTTTGGCACTTCTAATTCTAAAGTATTTTTACTTAGCTAAGGCTACAAGTATAAGCCAAGGGCTCAGTACGAAGAGGATGTTAAAGTTAGAAATCTGCACTTGACATAGTGACGTAGGCTGTCCAGGTCTGGTAGTTTTTCTCCCCTTATTCACTGGGATGGGAAGGTTGGCAGTATTAGTATTAGTATTACAAAAATATAATTTTTTTTTAAGGAATAAAAATCGTAATGATTCTGCCTAATTTAAATTTGTATTGATGGCCAACCCTGCACACTACACAACAGTTTGCAAAGTTAAGTCTAGGTGAAGTTTTTAATTGAGAGTAGTGGACCATGGTGGAGCAAAAGAAGCTGAAAGGCCACTTTGTCGAAGAAAACAGCTGATCCTTGCAGAGGTGGATAAAATAAGGGTGACCTTATTTGGGCCACAGTGTGGCCTAAATAAGCTAAACCCCCCTTCCCTTACCTTATTTAGGCCACACTGTGGCCCAAATA